ATTCAATGCATACAAGTTAGAGAAACTTTTCCCAATATAGTTAAGCATTATTTGTGATACTTGTCATGAATCTCTATCGAGCGAGAACTGCTTATCGAGTCGATTGGAATTATTTAGGCCCAGAGATACATACAATTCTCCGGCCTAAACTTGCATTGAAAATATTCTTTATTTTACGAACCACGGATATTTCAAGACATTTGTTTTATTAAATTAGCTGAAAAAAATGTGATAATGGGCGTAACCTGTGCTTTTGAGGGTTGTACTAGAAATCAGTAAGAGTTTTTGTTAAATCGCTGACGACCATTTTAAAAATTGCTCAACCTAACTTATTTAACCTCCAGACTTAAAATAGTCTTTAAATTGTTTTCTTCTTTTCTAAAAATAGAAAAGACTTTGCGCTTCATAAATACATTGTTGTGGAAACTTTTGCGTTACAATCAGTAAGCTTCGTTGCTTTAATTATCTTTACATGTACATATAATTCGTGGGCTCGCGTTACATTTCTTTTCTTATAGAGTGCATAATAAATAATACAGAAGTATACCGAAACGAAAAGATAATCATTTTCTGCTTCAAAATATAGACGTATTAGCCTACATAGAAAGCTGGTTCAGCTAAACCTGATTTTCAAGTTCCAGGATTTGTTACCTTCCGAAAAGACAGACTGCACACCACAGGAGGAGGTATAGCGTTACTTATTCGCAAAAACATAGCCTTTAAGGAGATTACTAACATCAAAACTCCAGACAGCTCTGTTAAGTTACGTGCAATCCGTATAACGAATACTAATCCAGAAGTCAATATACATGTATGTTATAGAGTCTCCGGAAAAACACTTAGTTCAGAAAATTGGAAAAAAATCATAGCAAACATAAATAAAGATGAAGTCAATGGAATTGCTGGTGATTTTAATGTGCATAATACTGTATGGAACTGTAATAAAACCGATAGGAATGGAGAATTTCTGTTGGAAAGTATAAATAAGCGCGACCTATTTTTTCATAACTACGACATAATTTCTCACATAGACTAAACCTCCTAATCAGATATTGACCACACGTCATCTCAAATAAAAATTCGGCTAATAATATTGAAATCTTTACATTAGAAGAAACCTTAGAATCGGATCACTTCCCTATTAAAATTTATATTAACGTAGAAAAAAATATCTATATTAAAAAATCTCTCAAACTACGGTCTACCTGAACCGACTGAGATAAAGCCGACTGGAGTTACGCAAGTAAGTCAGTATCTGAAAAATATAACTGTTTCATTGAAGTCCTAAACGATGCAATTAAAAAGAAAACCCCAAATAAAATAAAAGTTCACAGCAAAATTCACAGAAATCCAGTAGTTTGGTTGGACAATTAGGAGTGTCAGAAAATGAAAGAAACTAAAATTAAAGCCTTTAAAAAAAAACGGATCGTTAAAAAACTCGAAGACTTCATTGAATTTAAACGGGCCAAAGCTGTTATGCGCAAAAAGTGTAAAGCAAAAAATCACTAAACTATTAAAAAACTAATGGACCAAAATTACCTCCTCCTACGTAATCGAAAACTTAGAAAAGAAGTAGCTTTAAATAAAATCTGTCCTCGATAGGTCCTTCGAGACAAAGACTAGATATCAACTTGCACACCAAATCCATTTCTTGAATCAGAATTTACATTTGCCGAATTCAACTTAGAACTCGAGTCTCGAAATGAGAAATCATCACCAAGCTTAGATGGAATCGATTATTTCACTATTAAAAAACTTCTACTCAAATACAAGCTCACATTTGTTGATATATTCAATGAAATTTACTGCACCGGGAATTTTTCAGATGACTAGAAAAATACATAAATACATTTTGTAACCAAATCCGATGGAGTTAATTTTAGACATATTGTTTTAACTTCAGTAGTGTGCAAACATTATGAAACTCTTATTAAAAATAAAATACAGTGGTGGCTTGAGAGACAAAATTTATTGCCTAATAATCAGAGTGGTTTTCGCAAAGGGCAATCTTGTACTGATAATATTTTAAATCTTACTATGTCTATCCAAAGAGCTCTTAGCGATAAAAAAGAACTTTACGGTGTATTCTTTGATATCTGTGGAGCTTTTGATAATGCGTTTTTAGTGACATAAAAGCGTAATACAAAAATTGGCTAATATCGGATGCCCCTACGCATTAATAAAATTTATTAAATTTCTAACATATGAAAGGTACATACATACGAATATTTCCAGTGGAATAAAAGACACTTATAAAGGAGTACCTCAAGGCGGCGTGCTCAGCCCTTTACTTGATATTTTATATGTATTTGATATCCTAAAACAAATACCAAACACGGTTTCAATTTCGCAATACGCTGACGATTTTGCACTTTATCTCAGGAACAAAAACTCATTGCAAAAAGTAGTAAATAAAATAGACAAACTGCAAGCTGTAGGTCTTGAATTAGCCACACATAAGACTTTCTTTATTAGCTTTAATAATCTAAATATTAGAACAGGAAAAACTTAAATAAAAATTAATAATAATTATCAAATCAGATCCTTGGAGACTATTAGATTCTTAGGCATAATATTTGATAATAAACTAACTTTTAATGCCCAGGTTAACAAAATTGTGAGCAAAGGTAATAGAGCGTTAAGTATTATAAAATATCTTTGTGGAACATCCCAGTTAACATTAACCGAGGTCGGTACGTACCCAGTACGCGTTTTTGGGTACGTAGGTACCAATGGTGGAACCAGCCGGCAACGTGGCTGGCACGTACCCGCTTGGGTACCAATGTCCGCTTTCGTGGCAAAAGTTTCTTTCCTGGTACGTACCGGCCTTGGTCAATGTTAACTGGGATGGTGAGGAGCAGATCGAAGTACTACATTTAAAAAAAATTACATTCGACCAATTATTGAGTACTGCTGTTTTGTATACTACCCAATACGAAAGGTAATATTAAAGCGATTAGAGCAAATACAAAACAGAACCATTCGATTAACATACGGCTATCGTAAGTCCACTCCCATAAGCGAACTTCGAGGTGAATCCAAACTTTCGACGCTTGAAGAAAGAGCGACATTCCTTTGTTATATATATTTGGCTAACGTATATAACTAGTAACGAAAGTCTCCTCGTTTGTCAAAATGTCAATAAGTATTATCAGAGAGTACTGTTTAAATATAAGAAAAAACGCAAACGATTGTTTGAAATATGTTTAAAGGTGCTTAAAAATGATACACCTGAGTATTATAAGAAAAATGCTTATCGTATACACGATTATAGCTACAAAACTATTATGACGAGCATTCCGTTTGACAAAACCTTAGGGTTCGAAGTTAAGATAAGTAAAGGCCCGATAAATAAATTCTTCGATTTAACAAAAAACGACAATAGCATATAATAGAGATTTACACAGACGGAAGTAAAGATAGGATCACTAACTACGTGGGAGCGATATGTACATGCCCCAAATTGAATCTCACAATTCAAAGGAAATTAAACTCAAACACTTCTATCTTTACAGCCGAATGTGTTACAATTAACGACGCGTTAGAAATTACAGCCAACATAACAAACCAAACTATCAAAATTTTTTCTGATTCTTTTAGCTCTTAGTGTACTGGAATGTTTAAAAAACTGTAAAATAGACATCCGAGGTGATTCATACATATTTGAAATTAAACAAAAATACCATAAACTAAATTTGGTAAATAGTGGTGTTTGCGTTTAAAAGCATTTGATTCCATCACATCATGGTATCCCAGGAAATGAACAAGCTAACTTAGCAGCAAAAAATGCTTGTGATACAAATGTAAACAATGCACGAAAAAATATAACGTTCACTAGTCTAAAAGAATACTTAAAAAAATATGTATAATAGAATATTTTATGAATTATTATACTGAGAATACTAGACTTTGGTTTGAACGCAAAAATTTAACGCGTGATTACTATAAATAGATGCAGAGCAAATTATGATTTAGCAGCCTCTTTAGAGTCGGTATTATAAATAACTCTATATGTGAATGTCTTATATCTGAACAAGACTTAGATCATATAATTCGGTGATACCTATTGTACACAGAATAAGAAAACAACTTCACAAAAAAATGTATAAAATTAAAATGTATCTCCAAATGAAAGTATCAATGATACTCAAGGAATCTAATGTGAATGCATGTATATTATATCTATTAATAACTTTTAAAGAATGCAATCTTAGTATATAAGAAAATGTAATATTATAATATCCATGTTTAGCTAATAAATCTCATGTAAAATTTAAATGTAATAAATAAAAAAAATAATAATATTTTCTCTTAGCGAAAGAACAATACTTTTAATAAATGTATATTTCTTCGTTGAGTTTATATTTTCAAATCAATGTATAAGAATATAAAATTAATATCTTGATCTAACAGTTGAGTCAGTGAAATTGATTATGTAAATTACTTTGCTTTGATGAAAAGTGATGTTTTCTCTACTATAATTATTTTGTATGCTGAGCAATAACAAAGTACGATCCATATTCAATGCAACAATGTGAGATTTTAATGTGAATGTTGAAAGTGCTAATCTGAATTGAAGTGTATACAAGATTAATGTGAAAAAGGAGTTAAGAAATTAAAAGAGCTTGAACTCATCCTTAAAATTTGAATAATTATGATCTTATAGAAAAATTGAATCCGATAAAGCTTGTATTAAATTTTGTTTTGAGCTGAACAATAGAAATGTAGTGTAATAAGGTACAAATAATAAAAGCTGTTGTGTTCTATGAAAAATATCAAAATGAAGTACGATCCATTAATTACTCTTGGAAACTCTAGCCAAAATAAGCAGAATGAACAGCTCAGTATTTATATATGATATACACACACACCACGCACACGCACACACGCACACACACACACACACACCCTCATCGAGAAAAGTCGCGTTGCTACTCGTGAGCCGTGGGTTCACCATGTTAGTATGTTTCAGTAAGGGCCGCAAGAGTGCGCGTCGCGTTTTCAATAATTGTCGTTGTATGCGCGAGAGAGCAGCAGCAGTCTGCGTGTGTCGAGTGCATGCGTGCGCCTCTTCGGCTGTTGAACTGTTGCCTGTTTATTTCCTTTGCAAGTAACACCGGATCAATTGCAGAAAAATGACCCAAGAAGGCCAGTAAGTATTCAATAAATTCTTTAATAATTTTGATAGTCGTTAGATTGACAATCCAATCATCTTTTCATCAAACATAAAATGTGAATCTTTTATGAATAGCCGAAATAAAGCCAACGCTTTCGCGAGAACACGCAGGGGCTTGTCCAACCGCGCCATGTTGATGGCGAGAGCGGCATGGATTTTATTGATTCTCGAAATTTCCGTCTACCTTTCATATTCATTTATTTTAGTCTTTACTATTTTTTGTTAATTTTTTGTCAGTTAATTGAGACTTTATTGTATCATGATTATTCCTCGTGTATGTCATCATTAATGCGACATTATTCCTGTTGTCTTTGTAACATGGCCTTTGAACTATAGTTGGCGAGTTAGCTCCGTCTCTTTCTTTCTCTTGTAGTCTCAAGTCTCGATGAAGTGTCGTTTCTACCGACCGCGTGTGCGTAATGTGATCGCGTGGATCCGGTTTCTATTGGTCACAGAAATAAAAAAAAATCGTGGCCCTTGACTAATGATAACAATTTAACACATGCGCTTCGAAAAATCTTACTTTTTCCATCTCAGTCTTAAGCTCTTTTGTATGTAAAGCGTGAGCAAACTGGTCGTCTATTTTTCTATATTAAGGTAGCATTTGCCGGGAAATTGACGTGGTGACTGGCGATTTTCTTGATTTCTTATTTCTGACGCTGTTTTTTAATTTACGTGTAGTAATAAGACTAAAAAATATACAGCAGGATGGATATGTGAGTTTCCTTTTTTTTTTGTCAATACAATAGTCAGCTTTGTAATAGTTGTAATTTCTATAAGTTTGTCATAAATTATAAGTAACTCTTTTTCTGCCTTTCTTAGGGTCACCCCTCCACCAGTAATATGGGCTCAGAGGAGCAATCTCTTGTTTGTGACAATCTGTTTAGAGGATTGTGCAGACCCCACTATAAAAGTTGAAGCGGACAAAGTTTATTTTAAAGGTGTTGGAGGGACAGAAAAGAAGTTACATGAAGTCATTATAAATCTGTACAAAGAAATCGATCCAGATAAGACAGTGCAGAGTCCAAAGGGAAGAAATTTTGAATTGGTACTTTACAAAAAAGAAAGTGGTCCTTTTTGGCCAAGACTCACCCAAGAAAACAAAAAGTTCCATTGGTTGAAGAGTGATTTCAACAAATGGCAAGATGAAGACGAGAGCGACGAAGAGGCTGGAAACATGAACTCTAATAGTTTAGAAGAGGTACTTTCTGATTCTTAATTTTTTATATATTTGCAATATTAAAACTGAATGTTATTATTTAACACCTACGTTATTTATAGATGATGCGTCAGATGGGTGGACTTGGTGGTGAAGGTAGTGGTTTTGGTGGTGAGGGTACTGGAATTGGTGGTGAATACAATATTGACAAGCCTAACTTTGATGATTTGGATATGGGTGGAGAAGATGGACCAGACAGTGATGACGACGAAATGCCAGACTTAGAATGAAAACTCTAAATATTATTACTTATATCCCATCAAAGAAGTTGAGACATGCAAAAGATTGTTGCAAGTTCATAAATATTAATTATTAGAACATGCGTTTAAATATTGAATTGCAAACAATTTTTGCAGTTTAAGTGATGGCCAAGTTGGCACCAGTGAGCCAGTCTCAAAAAAAAAAAAAAAAAAAAAAAAAAAAAATCCAACATGTTGATGAACACCAATTAAATAACGGTGTTAACTAACAGTTTACTCACTTTAAAAAATCCATCTTTCATACCTTTGTAATTCCCGTTAGACTTTAGTTTATAAACTAAGTTATATGGTAAAGCTTTTTTAATAATGATTGATTAAATGTGTAAAATAAACTTCGTTTTTCTTTTATTTATTTATGAAACTTGCAAACCTATGTTATATACACATTTTTTCTACGTAATTGCTATGCAACTCTTGAAATAAGTTATGCAATGAATTTTTATAACAGTGAATGTTGAAGTAATGTAATGGATTAAGTATATGCAGATTAAGGAGTTTTTATCCTACAATATTAGATGCACCACGAAGAGCTAAATACCCAGCTGTAATATCCATCGGTAAACTTCGTACTGTCATAAATTCATCTGCACTTGCGAAATACAGCTTTGTCTGTGGATCTGTATAATGTGCCTGTAAATCCATTAGTACTTTATTTACCACTCGTATTTAAATGTGCATCTTTTTTAACTTTGTATAAAATGAATAATTGGTAATTGATAATATGAACTAAATTTTTTTACTTACTGGTAAGCCTGATATGTCGGAGTATTTTTTTGCTGGTTTGAAACTAGGCGGTGCATTTATTGAGCTGTCTATAATTGTAAAACGAAATGGAGCAATAAATACAATGCAAATTTTATGTAGATTATTGAATTTCAAATACAACTCACAATGGACTGCTTCAGGGGGCCAGGGTAAAGTACGTTCTTGAGCTAAAATTTGCTTCAGAGATCTCCAAATTCTTTTTTTCCCTGAATTGTTTGTAGATCGAGATTTTTCTTTAAGCGATTTATTTTTAAAGATAGGTGCAGGCTTTTTATTTGATTCACCACTTCCTTCTTCATTCACCATCATAAAATAAAACTATGAGATGTAAATATTTATTAGACAAACCTTAATTGTTCGATAAAAAAATATGAAGATATAATTTTTATTTGTATGTAATGGACAGTTGAAAATATAAGTGTTTAATTACTTCACTTATTATTTTTAACTAACAAGATAAAATATTTGTTCTAATAATACTTAAAATATTTAAAAAATCAAGTATATTTTAGAAAAAACCAAAAGATAACCTGATGTACTTAACCAAAACACGATCATTATTTTGAAGCATAATACCTATTTCGACTACCAACTATTTGCGACGTTTAAAGACTACTATAGTCAGTTCTACTGATGTTTGAGTATAGGATATATTGATACGCTTGAATAAAGTAACGGTAAAAATATTCCATTATTTTTTTACAATTTTCATGAAACAAGTCACTTAAATATTCTTTTTTACTTAAATAATAAAACTGATATTTTGTTGTAAAAACTAATGTAAAGTAACAAAAATTTCCCAACACCTATACATGTGACAGCAAAAGTTTTTCTTGGTTACACGAAATATCGATTATTCACTCTGCTTGTCTTCGAAGGGTACGTGTTACGATTCCATTCACATATGTGATCAATGAAAGTAGCAGTTGCATAATCAAAGGTGATGCAGTTGTTTAAATGAAAATGAAATTACGTTTTCTTAAACTTTTATTTGTAATCCCGAAAGCTTTTTACCATCAGTCACAAAACTGCAGTATGTGGCTTATTATATAATCAACTTCTAATTTTCATCATGAGCATATACGTTGCAATAATTACAATAGCAAAGTCAGTTTTATATAAAAATTTAAAATTAATATCTATAAGTAAAGAATATTAACAAAATCAGTATAACTAATACAATATAATATCATCCGACTTATCGATATTTTGATATATATATATATATATATAAATATATATATAGAATAAAACGCATGTGCTGAGCAGGCGCATAATACAAAAATAGTGGGGACGTAGGAGGGAACAATCTGGGGATAGGCATCGCGGATTGAGATTTGGATTCACCTTTGAGACAGCTTGAAGGTCGTAAGGACAGTTGGGCATTTTACTGTTATACTTTTTTGTGAATTTTTACAGATTATTACAGTTTTTCGCCTTTTACGAGGCAACAGTCGAATTCAGTCAAAATGGCACGTAAATTTTTCGTTGGAGGTAATTGGAAGATGAACGGTAATAAGAAAGAAATTGACGATATTGTCGCATTCTTGAAAGCCGGGCCCCTTGATCCTAATGTTGGTATGTAGAATATATTTTTAATTATTCAGATTACATTTTATAAGTCACGTTAATTTGTTATGGGAGCTTTTCATTTATTTAGTCAAATTTATTAATGTAACTCCAATTAGTAGTGTTTATCCAGTGTTCAACTGATATACAAATTCTTTAAAGCTTTCCAAAATTACTTTGAAAAAATTATCATTTTGAAATCATAAAGGCTTTATTTATAGAATTGTAAAGCATTCTTAAGAAAAATTCTTTTTTGATTACATCAGATTGAGTAAATGAAATCTTAAGATTTTTTCAATTTCATTGACATGATCTCAGAACTATAAGAATTTTAATAATTTGTTTATTTTAATTATTTTAGATAACTAGATTTATCACTGTCAATAAATAATGGTATAACTAAACTTATTTATTTTTCAGAGGTTGTTGTTGGAGTTCCTGCAATATATTTATCGTACACAAAAGGGATCTTGCCTAATAATATAGGCATTAGTGCACAAAACTGTTATAAAGTACCAAAAGGTGCTTTTACTGGAGAAATAAGCCCTGCTATGCTTTTAGATAATGGGATCTCATGGGTGATTCTAGGTCACTCTGAACGAAGAAATGTGTTTGGAGAGAATGATGAACTAGTTGCTGAAAAAACTGCTCATGCTTTGGAAGCTGGTGTGAAAGTATGTTGATAAATCTTATATACTATAACTTTTGCTGAACTTTTCTGGATAATACAAGGCTTTTTAATGCTACAAGGTGATTGCTTGTATTGGTGAGAAATTGGAAGAAAGAGAGTCTGGAAAAACCGAAGAAGTTGTATTCAGACAAACAAAAGCAATTGCTGACAAAATCAAGTCATGGGATAATGTGGTTGTAGCATATGAGCCAGTGTGGGCCATTGGTACTGGTAAGACTGCTACTCCTCAACAAGCTCAAGATGTCCATGACAAACTTCGAGCATGGTTTGCTAAAAATGTCAGCCCAGTAGTAGCAGAATCTGTGAGAATTATTTATGGTGGTTCAGTGACTGCAGATAATGCTAAAGATTTAGCTAAAGAGAAGGATATTGATGGATTCCTTGTAGGAGGAGCTTCTCTAAAACCTGATTTTATTAAGATTGTCAATGCAAAACAGTGAAATGGAACGTAAATAAAAATCAAAACTATTGTGTTCCAATGCAGACTAAGATATTACATTCTTTTAATTTTAATATGAGGTCTACATGCTTAACCCTTATGTTCAGATGTGATTTTCTTAAAAACAAAATATTTTTAAAAAATTAGCTATCAGAAAAATATTATAACTGTTAGTACTATTACAGTTAATTTATCATCATTGTAAATGCTGTAAAAATGTGAAGCAAAATGAAACAGTAAATTTAGATTACAAATAATAATGCTGTATTTATTTACAAAACATTTTATCATAAAAAATGATAATTACTTGATCTCTCCTCTATTAATAACTCCAGTAGGCTTTTGTAAATTCTTAATTATATTCAAACCATCTTGTTTAACTCTGGCACATGCTATTTTAACAATTGATTTGAAGGTACGTGGTTCCCACACTGCTAGCTCAGCCAAACTTTTAGAATTCAAGAGAATATTACACCTTAATAAACCTTCTTTCAATGCTTTCAAATTCATACCATGTTCTATACAAGCTGCATCAACTCTTTCATGTGACACCTACAAATAAATCAAATAATAGACACTCTGTTGTTAAAAATTGAATTAATTAATATGTTAAAGTAGTTATTTATTACCATTCTCTGGTATGATCTTTGAGCTTGTCTTCCTTTGGTTGCAAATTGTAAAGATCGGTGCACTGCTCTAATAGCCATACTATAACAATTTCTAAAACGTCCTTTAAAGTGCTACAAATTATGAATACAAAATATAAAAGCTTACATAAATATTTGAATATTAAAGTAATGACAATCAAACTTAAAGAGAGTTAAATACATCTATTAAAAAAGCAAGTAAAGGTATTTACAGCTGATAATTTGAAGATACGTCTTTTTCGCCAAAACTCATCAGGTCCCCTTGATCTTGCATATCGTACTAAAGATTGAAGAACCATTTTTCCAAATTTAATTTGCAATTAAACTATTCTTACTTCATAATCAGCTTTTGTTAATTTTAATACGAGGCAAAACAGCGAGGAGGTTATGGTTTATCTTATATATGAATACGAATATAAGAAACCATGTGCAAGAGCTACGATCGATAATATTGGTATCGATAATATCGATGTATTAACACGTACCACGCACGATTCACCAAACAGTCCCATTTAATTATTCGGTATAGGCCTGCCTCGCCTCCTGGGGGCCTATTCTGAAAAAAAATTTTGTGGTAAATCAGTTTGTCACTTCAGTTTACCACAGAATTAATCACTTTAGATGTGATAAATGCTTATGACATGTGCTAAAATTTTTTTTCAGAATAGGCCCCGTGCTAAAATTTTTTTTCAGAATAGGCCCCCTGTATACAGTCTCCATGAACCGGAGTCTTAGGGTCTGTCTCCATAGGGCCTGCCTGAGTCCGTCCGAGCCGGCCGAGATTTTTTATGGGCACGCCATCTCTATAATTTCGTGTTCATGCGTTTCTCGTATTGGCTGCGTCCGATCGGGCTCGTTTATGTAAACGCAGCCATTCACTATGAAACTCGCCATTGGATACGAAATTATAGAGATGGCGTGCCCATAAAAAATCTCGGCCGGCTCGGACGGACTCAGGCAGGCCCTATGGAGACAGACCCTTATGAAGATTCTCCACGCAACAAATTTCTGCCAACGTAAGAATTCAAAATAACCTAACTTTGCAATTTTATACAACATAATCTCATAAGTGATAACGAAATTACTACAATTTTCAAACGTTTTTAATATTATAATTAATCTGAACAATATTTTAGTGGTAACTATTGGGTAATATTTTGAATAATTTGAATACGCTTTTTAAAAATATACTAGTTGTATTTAAGTTTGTCTAGTAATTTTGAGTTTATGTTAAACATTTGACCATTTCAAGTTGGCAGCAGTAGAAAAGTCACTAGAAAGTGCTTGTCGCACACGATTTTTGTGCGTCTATTGGAGAATCAGCAATATGGTGGCTTCTTGTCCAACACTTTCTAAATAATACTATACATTGTATATAGAAATTCCGCATTACTATTTCCATGCTCCGCGTGTTCGGTAATTCGGTATTTAGTTTTCTGCTTTCTGCAGTAGCGTCCAAGCGTTGAATAAGTATGATACATGAATTTTAAATATAATCATTATTTGTGTTTCATATATTTTTATAATTTATTATAAATCGTATTGAGAAGAATATACAAAAATGTCTAAGAGAAATAGGTCAGTATAAGGTGCAAATCGATTATTGAACGATACGTATTACATGATCCGTCAAATATTCCATTGCTCATACGCAATATACAATGAGCGTACAGAAATATTATTTATATAAAAATAAAATTTTATTTTGACTTTCAGAGTTGCAGATAATGAAGTATCTGATGAAGAAATGGAAGATATAGATATGAATGCAATGGTAGATTCGGAAGAAGAGTTATCAGATGGTGAAAGAAAGTTATTAGAAAAAATACGCCAAAAAAGGCAGAAAAGAAATTATGATAGTGAGGATGAAGTTATGGGATTTGAGGATGAAGATGCAGATGAAGATGAAGATGAAAGAGACTCAATGGCATCCGATATTGAAGGTCTTGAAGAAAAATTTGATTTACCCAATGAAAAAGCTTGGGGTAAAAGGAAACAGGCATATTATTCTGCTGATTATGTCGATCCAGATTATACTTCTGTTAGTCAAAAAGATATTGCTGATGCTGAAATGGAAGAACAGGAAGCTAGAAATTTGCAAAAAAGAATAGCTGAACAGCTTGATGAAGCTGATTTTGGTTTAGATTTAGTAATATCAAGAAAAGATGACACTGATTTTGATAAAGATGGGGAACACATTAAAACTGATTTAAGTAAATTAAGTAAAAGACAGAAACAAGAACTTCTAGAGAAAGAAAGTCCAGAATTTGTACCTCTGGTAACTGACTTTTCAGGTAATTCTTTTATTCTTTCTGTGTAAGTTATTGTATAAGATCTTGTAATTAATATGGTTTTTATTTATTCTAGAAAGATTAACAGAAATGAAGACTATCTTAGGACCTTTTCTGAATCTTGTAGAAAATTCAAATTGTCCAGATTGTTTTGCAACTAATTTTATAAGAAAAAAGTATGATTTGCTTTTACACTATTGTATAAATATTTCTTTTTATTTAATGTTGAAATCAAAGAGAGAATCAGTTGCTTCCCATCCTGTAATAAAGAGATTAGCGCAGTATCGCCAATTACTATCACAGTTTGAGGAATGTCAAGGAGATCTTTTAGATAAAGTTCAACTAATTCTAGAAGCAAACAAAAATGGAGAATCTTTGTATAGTTCAGTTGAAACAAATACTGTAAATAAAACTATTAAAAATATCGAACTTGAAGTCAGTGGTAGTAAGAAATATAAAAAGAAGGTTGTATTTGAAGATTTTAATTCTGATGAAGATTATGAAGAAATACCAAAATCAGACTTCAATCATTTAGAATATGATGAAGAAAATAAGGAAACTAAAAATGATCTCGAAAAGAGAGGTATAACATATCAAATAGCCAAAAATAGGGGTCTCACCCCACACAGGAAGAAGGAGCAACGCAATCCTAGAGTTAAACACAGAAATAAGTATCGCAAAGCTATTATTCGTAGAAAAGGAGCTATTCGACCAGTTAGAAAAGAAATTACCAAATATGATGGAGAAATATCTGGTATCAAAGCTAGTGTTAAGAAGAGTATTAAGCTTAAATAAATTTTACACTGTAAATGATTATTCAAAAATAAAATACATTATTCAAGTATTATGTAATATAGGTTTTATATGTAAATGTAAAATGTAAAATGTAAAAACTTCTTAGAATGAATAAATTCTTTATTAAGTGGAATAAGTATGAAACAATGATACCTAAATGCTAACAGACTTTAAAAAAACGTAATTCAAGTAACAAGTGTCTGTAAGACAGTACAGGCTTAACAGTCCATTTATGCAATGACATTTGACTTCATAATTTTCGTCAGATACACATTCGGTTCATGACAATCACAATAATTAACCTATGACAAACTAAAGTGTCTTAAGCTTCCAATTTAGCCAAGATATCTGATTCACGGAACAAATGATATTCTTTGTTTTCTTCAAGCTCTACTTTGGTTCCACCATATTCAGGAAGTAGAACAGTATCTCCAACCTTGATACTTGGTGGAATGTGTTCTCCTTTCTGTACAAACAAAAAATATTTGTATAATTTAATTTTCAAGTGATTAAATTATTTACGCAGATATTGGAGATGGAAAATACATACATCATTTCTTTGTCCTGGTCCTATCGCTACAACAGTTCCTCGCAAAACTTTGCCTTGTGCTTTCTCAGGAATAACAATCCCTCCCTTGGTTTTAGTGACAGCTTCTGCTCGCTGTATGAGTACTCTGTCAAACAGAGGAATAAGCCTTTTAACAGCAGCTGCAGCAGCCTGAAAGTTGTTACATGGTTTCATTAACACAAATTCATGATCAAGATTTTAAGAAATTTCATCTTAGAATTTTCAATTTTTTCAAAATTAGATAATTGAAAATTGAAAAAAGTTAACAGCATTAATTTTTCATTCAAAAGTATTTATGGGATATTTACATCCTGAAAATTTTTTTTAATTACGTAATTACGTATTTAGGAGATAATACACGAGACAATCTATTCCTATGCAATACATCCTCGTTGGATCAACCCGTTCAACACCATTTTATCATATTTTACTTTCTAAATATATACACATTCAAACCTTGATGGCTATTTGAGAATTAATCTTGTAATTATGAAATGTAAATTAACTTACCATAATTAAAATATGTTTTACAGAAGCAAGAAACACAGAGTAAAACCTCGTGCACGCGCTGCGTGAGTAACCTATGAAACCTCTGCCGGCGTCCGTGTCGATCTGCGGCCAAGTACGCTTTCGCTCTTTTCTCCTCCTTCTCGAATCTTCCGCCGTTCGCAACGCGTGTATGCTATGAGTGCCTTATTTCCCCTTCTTATTGCTCCACGGTTATCTATCTCTTTCTTGCTCGACTACTCCGAATATGGCTGGATTACGTAACCGGCTATTCAGAAAGATAATAATTTGTTCTGAATATGAAAATAGTCAGAACAATTTATCCAAGTCAATAAATTTTATGCTAAAAATTGAATTTTAAAAAAGCTGATCGAATTTTTAAAATTCAGTTCCATTTAGCTAAAAATTTTGTTCAATACTATTCGTGTAAAAACATGTGGCTCCAGCGTGCAGAACGACCACATGGTCACGGCGCACCGTTGCATTTTAGCGTCCGTCCACGTGTTTCGCCCATTTTATCAAAATCATTTCAACTTTGCGAGAAAGATCATTAAAGATTTCTCAATCTTTAGATTATCCAGTGAATATTTTTGTCCTGTAAGTTTCTCGGAAAAATCTTCATTCTTTTTTCTTTTAGAACGCCCTTAAAAAAACAAGTGAACTTGCAATATATGTATGGTAGTCACAAAATAAACATTATGAGACATTGCTCTCGACATGAACTATTTATAACGTGAACGAATAAAAGAAATATCTTTTCAAGGGGAGACTCAAAAGTTCAACGTTCGATTGTTTCTCGTTTAGTTATCAAGAAAAAGAGCGATAATTCATAAAGAAAACCGAAAATTCTCTTTCACATACAAATGATAAAATCATTCTCATGTTTTATTCATTGATAAAATATATGGCTTTTTCAAATACCAACATAATTTTTTTCATGACTTTATTATAAAGTTGGCCATAAACGCTTTTATGTAGCAAAATTCTTTTTTAAATGACAATGACAAAACCAAATGATTGGCGGCTGCCGATCGGTTGCGTCATAAGCGTGTAGTACTTTCTAGAAAATTACCGAATGCCGGTCCAACGTGCTTGCTTTATCGACAAATTAATGAAAAGAATTTTGTCCAAATTTTAAAATAAATCTGAAACAGTTTTGAAAATTATTTTGTAAATGTAGGAATTGATTTTTTTACATCCCTTTTTCATTGCTCAAAGCTTCTGGATAATTCGAGAGACACAGTTGGAGGTTAAGCGGTGACGCATTTTGGTGGAAGGGGGGAGCGGCGGCGCCCCATGTGATATCTCCTCTCTCGCACCGCTGCTTTTCGACTCTTCATTCTACTCGCGCCTTGTGCAACTCGTGCACTCGTTCAACGCGATTTCACTAACTATCCCTCGTAGCCGTGCTTTTTAAGTTTGGAAATCAAGGTAAGACCTTTTGACATATCTTTGAAATCAACGTTGTATAAATTTTGCTAGAAATTGTTGCCGGTACTTTGATTTTTCTTTTTCACGTTCTGCTGCTTGCGGTCGCATGGTAAGAAGTAATGAGACTTCGTAGATGTACTACCGATGACCATTCAAACATGAATTAATAAGATTTTTTCTTTTTTCTCTAATCGTGCGTAATCGTATTGGAAATTTTGTATTCAATTTCCTATACTTTCAAGCATATATTAATTTAAAAAATTTATGTAAATCGTCGTCGCTCGGCAACGTACTATCTCGCCACGCGGTGCGTTTTATATAACCGTGATACTCTGCTTGCCGCTAGCACTGAGTATGCCAACCTTTATGTCTCCAGTATCGCGGTTAGATTTGTACTTTCATTCTATTTTTGAACGTAGAAATGTTATTTTCAATGATTATTATTTGTTTTTTTTTATTCAGTGACATTAATAATTTGAGCATTGAATTAATTTTTTGCCTGCATAAAATATTTTATTTCGTCACACGTCATTTGTACAAGAATGGTAAAATGCGGTTATTTATAAAACTAATACTATTTTGCACAATCCAAGTTGTGTTTATCTATAAATTATTCATAAATAATTATTAAAAGCTTATACATGGAAAATATATTTAGTTTAGATTTAATTTTCTTTTAGTAGGTATTTACTAAATACAGTATGAAAAAACATGTGACTACTATTTCAGATGTTCAGATTACCCACTGTTCTTCGCACTGCTGCTCTACAGCAGATGCAGTTACAGTCTCGTAGCTATGCTAAAGATGTTCGATTTGGAGCAGAGGTGCGGGCACTGATGCTGCAAGGAGTAGATATCTTGGCTGATGCTGTTGCTGTCACTATGGGTCCTAAAGGAAGAAATGTTATTCTGGAACAAAGTTGGGGTAGTCCAAAAATAACAAAGGATGGTGTTACAGTTGCAAAGGGTGTTGAACTCAAAGATAAATTCCAGAACATTGGAGCTAAGTTAGTACAAGACGTTGCTAATAACACCAATGAAGAAGCTGGCGACGGAACCACTACTGCCACAGTTTTGGCCAGAGCTATTGCAAAAGAAGGTTTTGAAAAAATTAGTAAAGGCGCTAATCCAGTTGAGATCAGACGTGGTAAGTTATACACATTTTTTCATACATTTTGCTAATGATTACTTTTAACTAATACAAAATTATTCATTTAGGTGTAATGATGGCTGTAGACAAAATCAAGGAGGAACTTAAAAACTTGAGCAAGCCAGTTACAACCCCAGAAGAGATTGCCCAAGTTGCTACCATTTCTGCCAACGGTGACACTGCTATTGGTAGCCTTATCTCTGATGCCATGAAGAAAGTAGGAAAGGAGGGTGTAATTACAGTCAAAGATGGTAAAACACTCAGCGATGAATTGGAAGTAATCGAAGGAATGAAGTTTGACCGTGGATACATTTCCCCATACTTCATCAATTCTACTAAGGGAGCTAAAGTGGAATTCCAGGATGCTCTTGTCTTGTTCAGTGAGAAAAAAATCTCTTCAGTACAGAGCATCATTCCAGCTTTGGAACTTGCAAACTCTCAACGCAAACCACTTGTCATAATTGCTGAAGACATCGATGGTGAAGCCCTCTCAACTTTAGTTGTCAACCGTTTGAAAATTGGCTTACAAGTCGCGGCTGTTAAAGCTCCAGGTTTTGGAGACAATAGAAAAGCCACGATGCAAGACATGGCCATTGCTACTGGCGGTATCGTTTTCGGAGACGACGCCAACTTAGTTAAAATCGAAGATGTTCAGGTATCGCGAGCTTAATTTAGCCGTTTCTTATATATATATAATATTTAACTAATTTATCGATTTGGTTACAGCCTACAGATTTTGGACAAGTTGGAGAAGTACTTATTACAAAGGACGATACGCTCCTATTAAAGGGTAAAGGAAAAAAAGTTGACATTGACAGAAGAGCTGAGCAACTTAGAGATCAAATTGAAGAAACGACGTCTGACTACGAAAAGGAGAAGTTGCAGGAACGATTGGCCAGACTCGCTTCTGGTGTTGCCGTTTTGAGAGTTGGAGGAAGCAGTGAAGTTGAAGTTAACGAAAAAAAAGACCGTGTCAACGACGCACTTAACGCTACACGTGCTGCTGTAGAAGAGGGCATTGTTCCCGGAGGTAATTAGCAATATAATTCAAGTAAGCTTCAAATTAAAGCGAATGTCTAAGTTTAATGATAAATAAAAAAATCAGGTGGTACCGCTCTCTTGAGATGCGCGCCAATTCTAAACAACCTCCAGCCTAAAAATGAGGATCAGAAGACGGGAATCAACATCGTGGCAAACGCTCTGCGTATGCCATGCAAGCAGATCGCTCAAAACGCTGGAGTTGATGCAAGTGTCGTTGTTGCCAAAGTTTCTGAAGGCAAGCTTGGCTATGATGCAATGAACAATGAGTATGTTGACATGATCGAAAAGGGTATTATCGATCCAACTAAGGTTGTTCGTACTGCTCTGACCGATGCTGCTGGAGTCGCTTCACTGTTGACGACCGCCGAGGCCGTTGTGACTGAATTACCTAAAGAAGACCCGCCCATGCCTGCTGGTATGGGTGGAATGGGCGGCATGGGGGGCATGGGTGGCATGGGCGGTATGATGTAAACTGGTCTTACATTGCGTTCAAAGACTGAGAGAAAGACCGATATTGCCACTCGTGCGCTTTTTCACACGTGCCGAAATTGATCATCACGATACAAATATTTATAGCTATGGTTCTCTTTAAACGAGATTAATTTTTTTTCATTTATCATTCAATACTTATAAATATTTGTCGAAAATATTTATTTTAGTTAAAAAAAAGAAAACCATTAAATGTTAATCGAATATTATCAAGTATATGCATAATGAAAGGATTACTTACTTTACAGCAGTGTATACGTTGAAAAATTAACATTGTAAAAGTTTGTTGACATTACTGTCAAAACCGCGTACGCATAATTCGAAACTTGACTTTTCTATAAGTTCGATAATTTTGATATGGCATTGACAAACGATTACATTTCAGGAACAGTGGAAAGATTTTTTAGGATCATGATCCTATATAAGAAATTATCGTAATGTGTATTGTTAATTAGTAATCTTACGATGAAATATTGAACAAGATGGCCATAAAGACTGCACAAGAGGCGATTTTTTATTACAGTTTTTATTTACCTAATTTAGCGCTTCATCCAATGTATTTAACCGTCTTCTGTTTTTAAAATTGTTGGAAAATCTATTGATAAATCTTGCGCAAACTAAATCTTCATTAAAAAATTCAGACAAAAATAAGACGTACTGTGTATAGAATACATAAATATCATGCCGTGCATTTGGAAACGTCACAATCCGTGAACGAATGGATCATCCTGTTAAGAATGCAAGTTTGTAAAAATGTTGATGTGTGCTAGAGTTCTCTGTTACTTTTTGTAAAACAATAATGTTTATTTTCCACTTTTAGTCTAAATAAAAAGAGATGTTAAATCAAGTACTTTTAGTGACTTTATTTATTTATATAATAGCTTGTAAATGATCGATTAAAAGTCGTAGTAGCTTGTTTAAATAAACACTACAAATATGTAGTTGACTGACTTTTTTATTGTAGTCGTTGGCTAAAATAAAGTGACAAATTATAAAAAAGAATGTACATCGTCTTACAACATTTGACATATATTTTTGCGGTCTTTGTAGAAATAAATCTAATCTATAAATATAGGCATGTGATAAGTGCGCACGCCACATTGATATAATTTTTTACAGCAGCCGTGAAACAGCCAAATTTGTTCTTTGCTTTTACTTTTATCATACAAGTTATTACATTATGTATAGCTCAATTGTTTTCTCTTGAACGAAAAAAAGAAATGCTTACTAGTGCTTTCATTACACTAACTCAGAAATTAACAAGATATATCATCAGTTTTACATGTTATATACAAATAGAATTAAATAGATACGTCAATAGAATCCATTGTCCTAAATAATAATACACTTTTGCAGCACATACACAACTAAACGTCCATTATCCTCGTCGTCTAAAGAGTCAAGCGCTTGAAATACAAGATTAATTCTTAGCGGAATTTTTTAACAATACCGTCGACGCCTTGGTGGGCGTGGTGGTTTGCGGTATCAGCTGAACTTTGATCAGCGACAAATCCAGCATTTTTCGCTGATACTTTTTGTGAAAGACCATGGCTGCGGATTGCGTCTTAAAGACGATCGTCGCATTACCCTCTCCCATTTGTACGCTCTACAACACGAACACAAAAGAAAAAAACTCACATTACCATAATTATTCCAACACAGTTTTATTCAATAGCCAGTTAGTTATAAAAGCAGACGTTTGGGAGTTAGAGGAATGAGAAGAGAAGAGTATTTACACAAGTAGTGCACGAGAACAGTCAGCGTGTATTTTAATTAAAGCGTTTAGGGTTTGCAAGTTCGGATTGAGGAAAAGAAGCTCGACACGAGACGCTGCGTTGTCTGTATATCAATATGCTCGTAAGCGTCTTTGTTACATAGATGCTTATTTAATAAGCACAGTTTGCTCATGGAAATATTTCTTGTTTTTCATAATAGTTGAGTTACTTAAAAAACATTCGACAAAATTAAAATAGAGATAAGCCTTATTACTTTCAGGCTTGATCATCCTTGCTGATAGAACTACGTAACGCTTTGATAAATTCGGCTTGCTATTAAAAAATAACGCTCACAAGATAACACAAGTCTTTATCAAATACAAACATGTTTCTCTCTTCTCGAGATCAGCAATGAATAAAACTATTTGATACTGATCTAATAAGATACATAGAAAGCTAAAAGAAATTATTATCAGCTTTTGAAAAGTTTGAAGACTAACCACTCCTGCGATTTTCGCATTTTTAAACCACATTTGAAAAATTATAGATACTTTGTTTCATCAGCTTTTTCGTTTGTCTAAATGTCTCAAAAATATTTCCATAGCTTTCATATAAATCATATATAATCAGTAAAATAATAAAATTATTATACAGCTCATCACATTGTAAAATATGATTAACGGTACCAGTCTAGTTTAACGCAGTATAGCTACAAGAGACTACAGGTAGTAATAAGCATAGGGTAAAGGCACACTTTTTAATAAAACGTTTGTAAAATAAACAAATTATTCGAAGATACAAAGAATCAAACCATAATTATTAAAAGAAATTAAATAAAATTCTATAATAAATATCATGCTCATATATCAATTCAATGTTAGGTTTTCATTTTATATTTATGACAGCTTTTAAATTTTGAATATTGTAACTACATAACAAAAAATAAATAAATAAAAATAACAGTAGTATTTTTACTACACAAATAAATATTATTTATAATCTTAACATGGCTCATCTTCTCAATAACAAGACAGATGATCTTATAAATTAGTACATTATTTAGAATCACATATCTTTGATTTTTTCGACTTTAGTTTATAAAATAATTGTGTTAAAAAACAACAAAAATCGCTCATCATTTATAATCTAAAAAAGAAATAATAATTTGGCTTATAACTTTTTTTCGCATATTATATCAAAAAAAGCGGAATATTCATGAGTAAAGCTATATTTGTCGTAGGTGGAAAGTATTAATTAGATAGACAAAAAGAATGGCCCAAAGCAAATAATAATAGAAAAAGCAAAATTTGAATGCACTTTCGTGCAACAAAATAAATGCTACGACAGTGCGATGTAGGCAAGTGTTTCTACGTAAAAATAGTCACCTCAATACTGCCGATTCCTTGGCACATTCGACGTATCTGCGCCTCGGTTGTACTCGCAGCTAAATTATCGACTTTCACGATATTGGTTTTAATAAGTTTCTTAGCTTCTTGGCCTTTGTTAACGACGATTCTTTGGCGTTGTAGCTGCTCTTGTTTCTGTGGATTTCCTGTTGAACTTTGTACGACGATCCTTTGAGAATTGGTAAGCAGTTGTCTTATTTGACCCAGCTGTCGATTCGCCGTTACCGTCTTGTTGCTCGACGATTTCTGAACTGCACTGCTCTTTTGAGTAGCTGTTTTCTGAGCTTTCTTTACTTTTTTTAATATGATTCGCGACAGCAATTCACTCTTTCCTCCGTCATCTTCTTCGTCCTCGTCGACTTCGCCTTCAATGTCACTTGCTTGCTGTAGCTGTTCTTTGGCTGTTTTTAATTGAACAGTACGCACTACTCGAGCGGGAGCAGGGTTTTCCTACAACAAAAAGATTATAAGTTTTGAAAATTTTGCAACAATTTAATTCACTTTTTGTATTTATATTGAGTCACAAAAGTAGTTATATTTGGATTATACATAAATTGTTCACATCTTCTGATCAAAAACTACACGTGCAATAAAATGTAATTATTTACGAAATTTTTTATGGATTTGCATGAAATTTATAATTAAACAAAACCCTTGAAGGAAATGAAGGAAAACAAAATGCTTTTACAAATATAAATTTTATTCAAATAAATAAAAAATGTACAATTAGAGTATCTGATTTAAAAAAAGTGCATTTTTTGTTATAAAAAAAAATAAATAAAAAAACAAAAAAAAACTTAAGTTTGTCAATCCAAGAGAGGGGAAGAACAGACAAAATAGTATAATTTTGCATAGTGTGATGCAAAGAAAGAAATAGAACGCGAAATACTTAATCTACAGATTTATCAAAGGATAAAATGAGAGTGAAAACACCTTCCGAGTCAAACAAATATTAAAAATCTACACAATAAAGTTAGATTTACTAATTTAGTTGTTCATGTAGCTTATCACATTATTAATTGCACGTATTACTATGCAAAAACATTAAAAATGGCCACATTAATCAGATTTCTTTTTCAATAAATTGATAAAGTAAAAAAATCAACAACTATATAAAATACCGTACGCTATTGATACAATAACGCAATTTGCATGTCTACAGAAGTAAGGGGAATAAGAGATATTTTTTGCTATACCTCTGTAGACTGTTTATTAGTTAGTCTGCTTCGTCCTTTAGCAAGTGTAAGATTAGTTTTTCCTTTTGCACCTTCTTTCGCAATATTTGCGATTGTGGACTCTTGCTTCGTATTCTCTGCAATTACATTATTGTAATTAATATTGACCTATCAGTGTTTTCTTATGAGTATAATGGATAACTGGATTGATATAGATACCTGAGCTATTAGATTCAGCAGAAGTTGCATTTGTTTTTTCCATGGCAGCCATTTTGCGACGATTTTCTTTTTCTCGTAAAATCCTTTCGCGCAGACGTTTTTGCTCTTCCATCTTTCTACGGTATTCTCTCATTTCTGGATCCATTTCTTCCTCCTAAAACGGAAATATACATTAGCCTTTGATAAATTAAGATTTATTGGCAATACGTAAATTTGTAAAATTAAAATCTACCTTCTCTTCTTTTTCGAAGGGTTTTTCAATATGTTCTGCATGCTTTGAGTTCAATCGCAATTTCTTTGGACTTTCTTCTTCCTTCAAGTTCCTTTCCAACATTTCATCGAGCGCTCTTTTCTGTGCCAGTCTACTTGCTTCTTTTGAAGGAGAAATGACCGATTTGGATTTTTCTTTATGAGCACTGGATTTTAGTGAACTATGATTGTGACTTTCGCCTCGATGACCAACATCAGGTGAAGTAGTAAAATGCTTTTGATCGTTACGAGGTCGAGGTGATAAGTCTCTTTCTCTATATTTGTCGCGAGAACTCCTATGCTCCTGTATTCATAAAAATTTTTGATTAACAAATACTCAGTAAAATATTGACATCAATGAACAGAATAGTATATGCATACCTCCGTATGGTTATCTCTATGAGACCACTGGCTGTCAGACTTGTACTTGCTATCATAAGTCGCGCTCTTGTAATTAGTTTCAGGAGAGTATGATCTGCGAGGATTCGCGCTCGCCGGCTTATGTGATTTGCTTTCTTGCCACATATCTGAGAAATATGAGAACGGATCCTGAAAATTAGAAAAACATATTTATTCATTATATGAATTGATAAATAGCAAAATCGTATACTATATTAAAATTCTTACATCGGGTTTTGCACTATTGGATCGATTTTCGCGTGCATTAGATGCATTTTTGAGTGCTTGAACAAACTTATCTGCGGGATCTTGTGGTGCTTTACCTATAAAAAGTGTAAAAACACAATGAGTTTGTTAAGTTCCAAACGCGAAGAAACTAAGTCAGAGAGCAAATCAATGCGTACGTACCATCACTTTTTATCGGATTACCTCGAAAGTGAGGATTAATGAGAATTTTATGTCCAGTTGGAATGGCAGGAACATTTGGTATGCTTGGCACATTGGGTACGTTGGTGATACCTACGATCATTTGCTGTTGCTGAGACGTTGACGGTGGTACAGGTAGACCTATCTGCGATGCGTTGTGATTGAATTGACTAACCGCTGGATTATACGAGTTTCGGTTATCATACGGCGGATGATTCTCAAATTGCTGATCTGGAAATTGTACTCGATTTTCATAGGCTGCTTGGGGCGACGCATTTGGATGATTCTGAAGAGACGCAGGTTGAGCCGGAGCTTGAGCTCGATTGAAAACTGGTGCTAGGATACCTTGACTACTAGGAATTATGGGAGGCTGATTGCCAGGGATGTGAGGTCCACTTGGTCCTTGCATCATAGCCATCGGTGGTCCTTGACTACCACCGAGATGAGCTGGCGCTCTCTCGGGCAGATGTATCTGATGGTTTGGAAACATGCCTTGATTTGATCCAAACGGTGGCTGACTCGGCTGACAGTTATATGCTGGTCCAGGTACGGGTGGGCCCGAAACACCGGGTGGTCCAGGAGGTATTCCTGGGGGGCCGGGTGGATGACCAGGAATGCCTGGTGGGCCTGAAGGATGGAGGCCTGGAGGTCCAGGAAGGCTGAGTGCTCCTGGTGGCGGTGGTGGTGGACAGCGAGGTCCGTAGTCTATCCTCGGCATGTTTAATCTTGGGCCTTGAGGTCTGATTCCGTCCGGGAATTGATTAGGCAGAATCGGTAAGCGAGGATCACCAAAGTGAGGATGCCCAGGTAGAGGACTATTGGCCAGAGGGTGATGGTAAGGAGGTTGAGCCGGAGTATTAGGATGAGGATACATCGGATGATGCGGTGGCTGTCCGGACAAATTACTAGGTGGCCCTGGTGGGAATGGTGGTCGATTTTCCAGCAGAGGTCCTCTAAATGGTGGTTGCTGATTCGCAGGCAGAGGATTATGAACGTGAAGAAACCTAGTGAAATAAAACCAAAATGTTAATACATGTGTCAGCTGTTACGTGACGAATAATCAGATAAAATTTCAGATCAATCCTTTCCTTCTGACAAAAATAAAAATACTTGATTACCTTCCGGATGGAAGTATGTCATATCTGCCACTGCTTCTGCCTCGCAAGTTTCTTCGATCTCCTCGGTCACCTCTATCACCACCTCGATCACTTCTATCAGGTCTGTCACCCCTATCACCAACTCTATCTCTACTTCTATAGTGCGGTCTATGTTGTTCTGCAGTTACAACATTTTCCAATGAATCGGGTATGTTGTGATTCATTTTTGGAATCGTGGACCTCTCACTTTGAAATCTGTTCCGTCTTTCTTTGCCTTCTTCACACTCGTCGTCTTCCGTCGACTGGCCATTTCTGGCGAACGCCTCGCGTTGACTGTTTGATTTTTCCCGCAATTTTTCTCGCAGATCAACTTGCTGCTGCCGAACGAGCGGCGCATCTGGTTCTTCTTCCGAATGACGCTCTTGACTCTCCTGAGATGAAACTGGTTCCCTTGATGGTGTATGCTTCGATACGATTTCGGGCAACTTTTTAGCGTTAGCAGCATCTCTTGGCTGCGCTTTATCCTTGTTATTTCTAGATTGAACATTTTCTTCTTCTGCTTCCAAGTCATCAAGTGCATCGGTGACACCTAAGTCCAGTACATCGTCTGTCTCTTCTTCTCCTTTACTTACGGTCTGCTGCACAGGTAACTAAATTGCGAACATTGGGTATGAAAAGATCAAATGCATTTCATGCATTGGGTTTTTTAAGTTATTCTTACTCATATAATTATACATTCTAAATCTAAGAAAAACAGGTTCCTTTTTTTTACTGAGTTTAATCGAAAATAAACTCTGTACTCCAAATTAATACAGTTTTTGCTCATGAACAAAATGTTTTTAGCAAATTTCAAATCCATAATTATAATAAAACCATTTTACTGAGGTATTGATAAATTAATTATGAGCACTACTATATAATTGTTTTTAACACTTAATTTTAGTATACAAAGTAGAATGTTTAGTTGGAAAATGAAAAAAAATATTTGATCGAATTGAAATTTTTCAATAAAAATGTTTGTTTAGCTTTCTAATAAAGTTACTTATAGAATTTTTTTGTAATTTTCATTAAAAACATCTGTGAGGATATTAAAACGAAACGCTCTATCAGAATATTACAAGCCAACGCAAAATGATTTTACATTTCTATCAGTGTTTAAAATTCTGTTACTGTGTCAATATGAACTAAGAAGGTACTAGATAATGAAACTTTATCTCTTATAACCATTATGTATAGATTCTTATACAAAAATAAAATAACTTTTATTTTGCTTAACGGAATTTTAATTAAAAAAATATTTTTCATTTACTTTAAATTAAACAGATTTTGGTTATATTTAATTGAAAAAATTTTAGTGAGAAATGCTAGAAATGAACTTTCTAAGTTGAAAAATCCATAATTATATCTCGATTGTTCAGTATGACTCATTGGAAATCTACTGGCATGAGTGTAACAGTATATTGCTACAGAACAGAATAATAAGCGCATCACAAATTACAACTATGTTAAAAGAGCTATTCAAATATATTAGTAAAAATTTTTATAAACTTTTGTACATCTATAAAATGTACGCAAGTCGCCTCATACAATTGACAGATGTTAAAAGAGTATCCATTTATTCTTACAAATACATTTTGTAAGAGTAAATTTATTTGAGCATACAACCAAATATTGTCCCATAAGTGTTAAATGGCTTGATGTATTTATTCAAAAATAAAATTATTCATTAATATATCTACAAAATCTTTTATATAAAAAGTTGATTTAAATTTTATGTTAAGAAAAAATTCATAATCTGAAAGGAAAGTTTCATAATGAATATAATTACATTCAAAATTTGGAAATTCTGTAAATCAGCAAGACATTTAACAGTATTTACATAAGTACCAAGTTTTTATGCATTTTAACGAAGGTGGCACAAGAATGGAAAACATTATAAATAGTGATCCTACGTATGGTCAGGTACATTCTGATAGCTTGTAAAAAAATGAATTTAAAAAAAATAAAAGATGTGTACATTATAAAAGGTTGAAATCATAATCGCAGATACTCAATACAAAGGAAAAGAAACTATATAAAATATATAAATTAAGTGGTTATTTATTAGCAGCTAAACATTTATTTCTTAAACAAAGATTTAAACTTTCATAAATAAAAATTATTTGATGAATTACACATTCTAACATTAAGAAACTTTTTGAGAGAAAATGTCACTTCTTTTCCTTTGGATCAGTTTATTGATTAAAAGTATTCTATTCAGCACCCCTAAACATACATTGCAATCACACACTATTCATCCACTCCAATACAAGTTTAGAATAATCTAAACTTTTTAAAGATTTTTTAATTGATGAAATTTCAAAAATATGCAAGCAATAAAACTGCAACTTTGTTATTCTTTTCTTTTCATCTAATAGTTTTTTTCTTTTTTCTTTTTTTATGTTTTTTTTCTTTTTTAGTTTATTTTTTTCATTTTTTTTCTGTTTGGTTCAGGTTGCAATACAGCATAGAAATATTGCAAAGTATCAACATGATACACGGATAGCTTAGTGCGGCATAGACTAGTGTGTACACAGTCTTTCAGCCAGAAAGCAAAGTTTTGATTAATCAAAGGTATTACAATACGAGGGACTCAGAATTTCACCTTATATCAAATTCAAACAAGTAACTTAATTTTTGTGCATATAACCAACAAGGGGTCATTTCCGCAATAAAACTTATAGTTAGAAAAAATAAAATCATGCTGGATAAATATTTATAGCTTAAGATAGTCAAGATAGTCGAATAATTTTAACGCTTATGCTAAAAATAATTTTTGCCTTATAGTATTTATCTAAAATTATTACAAATGTGCGGCATTAAGCGAACAAAAATGAATATGCCGCTTGTACGCTCACCCTCTCAAAATCATTGTCATCGGCTAAAAGCGCTTCTTCCTCGTCGTTACCCAAGTCGTATTCTTCGTCTCCAAGATCTTCGTCCAGCAAGATATCATCACTAAACAAAGAATAAAACCAATAGAAAATTAGACATTTTTTTCAAATAATGGCTAACGGTAATTATAAATCAAAATGTACGTTGCCACGGTTGTTCCAAATTCTAGCTAAAAAGACACACGCACTATGAAAGCCAAATAATATATGTAAAACTGTTAATGTATTGAATCCAATCCTTTTAATGTATTAAACGTAGGTATTTAATAGACAGCAAGATCTTTTTATACGATTATATTGCATAATATATTTTATAAACAATAATATAACGGAATAACATAAAATAATGGATGATATTGTTTCGACTGTAGTTTTAAGGTTTGATACGAAGTAGCCAGCAGTCAGCACAGATGCTAACTACGTCATCTTGTAAAGGCGATATCATCGCTAACCTTCATCGTAGATGTAACAGACGCATTTGCAAACATTCAGATTTTACAAGCGAAATACCGCGAAATTAGTGTTTTAAAAGTGTACTTAACTACTTATAGACAGTTTACAATATATTGTTACACTAAAAGTATAAGTTTTATTTGTAGAAAACATAGAAAAATACTCACTGATCTGACATCGTTCTATTTCACTTCGTCCCTCGCTTGCGTGTGGGTTCATGAAGAGGAAGAGACGAATCGATGATCGTGTATAATTTTCTCAAGCCAAGCCTGCTCATTCGATTAATCGATATCTCTCGAATTATGATTAAAGTTACTAAGAAATATATAATAATTACTACAAGAAATGTAATATTAATTTATTGATAAACAATGATTTTTATTGAAATAAATTTTATGATGTCGAATATAAATACTTTCAAAAAAGTATAATATAAAAGCAAGATTTAATGTAAAATATATTAAATTTATGATATATTTCCCTTATTAATTTTAATTGATATGTAAATAGTATATCGAAACGTAAAAAATATTAAAATATATTAAACTGTAAACAATAATAAATGACAATTCATCTAGTATGCATTACAATTTTTATAATTTTGCAACATTCACAGTTCAAATATGGCGCAATAATCTCCTCGATTTTTCGAGAAAACTATATATATATATATATATATATGCGGTACTAACATGGAGACTAGTCTCCATGGGTTCTAAACTAAGAAGAAAAAAGCAGTCTGGGAGGACTGCTCATATATGAAATCGTTAGTTACAATTTACGAAGTTACGAAATTTAGAAACTAAGCTAAAAAAATAGGTAATTAAGAACATCTACAAAAAAGTTTTCGATCTTTGAATAAAATAAAACATTGAAAAGTTAAAAAACATTGAGAAATCCAACCAAGAAATTCTATGAATATAGACAGAAATGGCTAATGAAACAGCAAAATATGATATTCAAGATAATCAGGTACTACTTGGTAACATAACATTTTTTTTAGTAGAGGTTGCTAGTTGGTTTTCAAAACATTTTTAGTAATTTTTTACATTTTAGAAAATGCCTGTTCCCAAAATACGGCATGATTGGTATCAGACTGAGACTCATGTTATTGTCACCATTCTTGCAAAAAACACAAAGAATGTTAAAGTCTCTTATGACAAAACAACAGTAAGTAAAAAAGATTACCTGAGTTATGAAAATTATTTATATTAATGAATGAAAAATTAGGTTATTTATTTCAGCCACAAATATCTAGAATTTTTTAGCAAAATATATTTTATAATTTCACTAACAATTGTTATGAAGTAGATATTGTTTGCTTCATCGCATATTTCAAATAATGAAATGGAAACAATTTTATAATTTTCAGCTTAGTGTTTCTGCTAAATTACCAAATGGAAGCGATTATACTTTAGAATTAGACTTGGCTCATCATATTGTACCTGATCAATGCTCACATAAAGCTATGCCATCTACAATAGAAATTAAATTGAAAAAGCAAGATGGTGTAAGATGGACAGTTTTGGAAGGTATCCCAGTAAATCAAATTGTACAACCAATTCCACAAGGTATGAAGAGAATTGTAAATTGAATAAACACCATATTATCGACATTTATTTTTATATAAACTTCGTTAAATAAAATGTTTTAGAAATATTACAAGCAGGTCAGCCTCCAAAGTATCCAAGTTCTAGCAAAAAAACAAAAGACTGGAATAAAGTAGAAAAAGAAATCGAAAAGCAAGAAGCAGAAGAAAAACCAGAAGGAGAAGATGCTTTAAATTCACTTTTTCAACAAATTTATGGTAAAGGTTCTGATGAAGTTCGTAGGGCCATGAACAAATCATTTGTAAGTATCCAATCAAATATTTAGTAAATGTTTCTTCTTAAATAAAAAAATTTTTGTTACATGTAGCAAGAATCTGGAGGCACTGTATTGAGCACTAACTGGTCAGAAGTTGGCAATCAAACTGTTGAAAGAAAACCACCTGATGGTTTGGAGTGGAAATCATGGAACTCATGATCATGTTCTTCCTAACTTGAAAGATTTTCAAGTTAAGAACAAATTTGAACAAATAATGTGATGTAAATGTACAATAACATGGTACAAAAGTGTTTAAAATAATGCAAATAACTAATTAAATATGAACATTTTTAATATTAATCCACTTTCTTATATTCTCAAATGTTGCACAAGAGTGTTCAGACATACTAAAAAATTATTAATACTCTTCATTTTTGCATTATAGTAACAAGAAACTAATTTATTACTATAATTTAAGTAAATACAAGTTAATAAAATAAAATGATGTAAATATTACTTTTGAAAAAAATAAATAAATTAATAATTAGGGTTAGTTATCATTGAGTACAGACCACAGGGTAGTTATACATTTATAACGTAGCGTATTAGTATATTATGATACAAGTGCGGGAAAGTAGATTCTTGTCTCATGTGGCTTTTACGCCCAAGCGAAGCGAGTATTTTGGTTTCAAAAAATTAAGTATACTGCGTTTTGAAGTAAAACATTTGCTCTTTCCAATGCCGTTCCTAGATTTATAATAGAATAAAAATTTACGATGTAAAGAAAGCCCAAAAACTGTGAAAAACAGTATTGCACTTTTAGATTAAGATATTTCAAAAACCTATATAGAGTGATGTAGCAATATTGAGCCCAGATTCAAATTCAGTTTACTAAATTCTTTCGGTTATACACTATCTGCGGTCTCTGGTTTTGAAATGTTTCGAAATTTTTTAGGCCTGTGTTATCAAATCAATTATTTATTACATAAATTACTCATGATAATAACTGGTACATTTTTAGTTGATTAGAAAAAATCTTATTATGATTTTATACCAAATATAGAGACTTGTGAATCTGACGCCTAAAAAAATTTTTTAATCATATTTTTGAGTTTTCATGAGCTAAAACGTTTTCTCCCTTTTTCCGAATTATGTCTTCGTTTGAAATTTTATTTCCGGATTTTCCGTTTTTAAGTAAATTGCGAAAAAAAATCGGGCGTTCGTACAGCGCGCAAAATGCATTAAACATTTTTCTCCTGCTTTAAAAGAAATAATATCGATAGCGGATGATAGCTCCTTATTCCCGGATTATGAAACAATTTTCCTTTTGTCGATTTTCTATCCAAAATTGAGGAAAATGTAAAAATTAGTAATATGCGGCAGTTAGTCGATAACACAGATCAAACGTTTGCTAATCACCAGATAAAATAAACGGATCGGAGTTGTAGTTTATTTTTGAGAGCGTGTGAAAGCAAGTGTGTCCGTTGATTTTTGAAAAATGGAAAAAGAGCAGTATCGGTCGGTGATTCGTTTTTTGTTTTTGGAAGGGAAATCGTGCAGCGAAATCAAAAAGCGCTTGGATGCTGTGTACGGTGACTCTTCTCCTTCGATGGCAACCGTCAAAAATTGGTTTAACGAGTTTCAACGTGGTCGCACGAGATGATTTTTGATGAGCCACGTTCAGGTGCTACGAAAACGGCTATAACATGACAAAAATTCACGATCTCGTATTGGCAGATCAACGATTGAAGGTGCGCGAGATAGCTAATAGATCGTAGGCATCTCAAAAGACCGCGTGGGTCATATCCTGCATGAATTAGGCTACGAACTGCTGCCCCATCCACCGTATTCTCCAGATTTAGCCCCGTGTGACTTCTTTTTATTTCCAAACTTGAAAAAGTCACTCGCCAGGCAGAAATTTGAGTCGAATGAGGAGGTAATCGCTGCCATGGAAGCCTACTTTTCAGACCTCGAGGAAACGTATTTTTCAGACGGGTTAAAGAAGTTGGAGCATCGCTGGGCCAAGTGTATCGAACTAAAAGGAGACTATGTTGAAAAATAAAACGCCACTTTTCCAAAATTTTCGTTTTTCTTTTGTAGCAACAAAAGAAAAGAAGAAACATCTTCGTTGTTTCAACATAGCAACAATTTTGCTAATTTTGTGGATAATGATTACGATTAGGTATTTGCATAAAAAAATATAAATAATCCAACCTTATTGTTTTATAGTCTTTAATATATTTTATAATACGACATATTTTTCACAATGTTTATCAATAAATATTGTATATGTAACATAAGCAAGGAAAAATAAATTATTTATTTTTGACAAAACAAATATAGTTTATATTAACCTGACCTGTATATTGAAGTATTTTTATAATATGCTACAATGGATTATTACTTTATATTGTTAAGAAGAATGGAAGTAAAATTAAAATCGTTATTAAATAATTCAACAAATATAAAACTAAGCTATAAGTTTTTGATCAATGATTGTTTTTTTCAATTTTAACTAGTCAATTCAATTTTTTTATTACTTTGTTCAGAATTATGTTATTTTATATAGTTAAAATATTAATAATAAAATTGACATGTTTACAAACTTATAGAAAACCTTAGAAAAAATTATTTATGTATATGTACATAAAATAAGAATGGTTAATTTAGTAGAATTTGAATTACTTATTATTATAATTACGCAATGTAGAACTTATATAGGGATATCTGGTGATTAGCAAACGTTTTATCTGTTTTATCGACTAACTGCCGCATATTACTAATTTTTACATTTTCCTCAATTTTGGATAGAAAATCGACAAAAGGAAAATGGTTTCGTAATTCGGGAATAAGGAGCTATCATCCGCTATCGATATTATTTCTTTTTAAGCAGGAGAAAGATGTTTAATGCATTTTGCGCGCTGTACGAACGCCCGATTTTTTTTCGCAATTTTTTTAAAAACGGAAAATCCGGAAATAAAATTTCAAGCGGAGACATAATCCGGAAAAAGGGAGAAAACGTTTTAGCTCATGGAAACTCAAAAATATGATTAAAAAATTTTTTTGGGCGTCAGATTCACAAGTCTAATATAGTGGTACTGAAAAAAAATGATCTAATATAAATTTTTCACGTTTTAATGATTCATGAAAAAAAAAGAAATATTTCATGTAACTAGATTAATTTGTAATTTATGTAAATGAGTTGTTTCGTTTTATTTTTGGTTTGATTAAAGCGAAACTTTGCAAATAATTGTAGAAAATGAAATTGAAGTCGGCCATTTTTTTTGAGAAAGCATATGGATCATTCACATGATTCAAATTATGTTAAATTCATAAGTAAGAAATATGTTGAAATGCCTTAAAAAAATAAAAAATTTTTCAAGAAAAATGAAATCAATAATCAATAGCTCGTTTGTTATATATTTTGTCTGATAGGTATTGTAATTTAATTATACAGTATAAATATCATTTCATCAAATATTACAAAACAAATAAATGCTTTTTAAGGCAATATAATGCACAACTATTAATCTATAAACAGAATTCAACTTGATTATAACTTAAAAATTTCAGCTCCTAAGTATTTGTTGCAAAATATACAAAGTAAAAAATGCAATCCCTAAATAATAGCCAGTTTGTTTAATTTTTTCCATATCTGGCATAGGAAGATCTTCATCTACATTGTGATCTAGAATATTTTCTGCAGCTGCAGCACTTACTGTAGTTAATCCAGATATAGCAAGAGCTGATGTTATACTTGTTTCTTGTTTTTCTATTCTTTTTATTATTGCAGAAAACTTTTCATTTAAATTTCTTTCCATTGAATTTTGTGTATCAGTAATAACGTTTCTTACATCTAAAATCCTTTTATTATTGTAAATCATTGAACCAGTCAGCGATACAATAGCTAAAAGTGCTGATGCTAATATGGAAATATATTTATATTTTTGAGCATTCATAGCCTGACTATCATGATACTCTTTAATTGCTGTGGCTAAATGTGTAAAATGATCCCTTTCTTCATCTTCTAAAAGATCCAGTTGTCTATTAATTCTACCTTGTTCTTGTAATCCCTTATTTTCCAAGATTGTCAATTGTACATATTTTGGATCATCTCTTTTTGTTTGAATAAGCTCACTATAAATTTCTTTTAATTTTTCATTTACTGATGCTGCTTGTCGTGTGAGATTTCTTCTATGATCTTGACATTTAAATAATTCGTCCTGGATTACTATAACATGATGTTTGGCAATTTCAACTTTATCCATTCCTGTCAATTGCTGGAACCATTGATAGTAATTAATAAGACGTTTTGGCAAAGGTGTTGAAGGTTGCATTGCAGCTGCATTTAAATCTTGAATTATTGTTGAGTTATTTACTTGCTAAAATCAGGTTTAATAGAATAATTAAATCAGTATTTTCAAATCATTATTATTAAAAAAATTATCTTTAGATATTAAAATAAATTAAAATAAATTTTCATATAAATTGTTACAGTGTCAATAAGTATGAGTTATAAACTAAATTATTTATTAATGTACCTTAACGATACTTGTATATTTTTCTGATGCTACATTTTGCAAATTTGAAATTTTTTCCTGAGCTCTTTCAGTTGCATTACCAATTGCTGTGCTTGCGTTGTATAATAGGGGCGATTTATTTATTTGATCAGTCAAAGACTTAAGAACCCTCCTAGAATTTCCTGCCATTTCAGGTGTTTGTTGTATAAAACTTGTGCTTAAAATTGATTAATTCAACCCAAAAAATATACTAATGATCCATTAACCTCAAAGTTTACACTGTACGAGTTGCTTGCCGAATTTATGTAGGTATTATATTATATAGGTATAGTAAGTCACATGATAAGTTTAGATTGCACATACTTGCATATATAGGTATACGTGCATTTTATATTATTTGCTGCATACAGTGTGTTTGATATAAAATAAATTTAAAAATGTTTTCTTATTTGTCAATAAAATACAATGTATTAATGTAATACTGTTTCGCAAGCATAATATGAAATAAATTTTATTAACTTTATATATGTATTTATAGTTTCGGAATAAATTGCATTCAAATCTATAATTAAAATTAATTTAAATAAAATTAGTTATTATTTATTATAAATTAATTGCTTTTAGTAAGCATTGCAGAGTAAATACAGAATAAAATATTTTGTTCTTCTATGCACCAAACTATAAATAATGTATATAATACTACATATGTTCTTATTTTACTTTCAAAAATCTGTTATGTTCCCGCTGACACCGCGAGATTTCGAGAGTTCCTGAAAAAAATTAGAATCGAGATCGGATTAGTAGGTTTGTGTAATCTAGTATATAGTCCGTATAATGTATGTAAATTCATCAATCATACGTATGCATGTTCATTGTTCATATATCATATATGTACTAAATACAACGTGTAAAAATACATACGTGCAACCTCTTATAAATTGTTGGTAGTAGTTGAGCTTGAAGAACGTACAGGCAAAATCACTGTCATTCCTCATTAATACTACATCCTTCTTTCGCAGCTGACGTCAGACTTTACATGTTGTCTTTCTGCTTGTGAAAAAAGTGACGTCTTGCTTGCGGAGTTTGTAGTGTACAGTACTTAATAAAGTAATTTTTTAAGAAGATACATTGATTTTACGAAGATAATAATCATGTCTTTAAAAATTAATGATTAAAGTTACGTACATTTCACAACGATTGTCTTTTTCAGTGTGCCTCGAATGTCTTTACTGTGATTTCCTTTAGAACGTGTTTCACGTATATCTATTATATTAGGGATGTTTTGGCACAATAATTACGTACCGTCAGTCCAAATCGACTCACTACTCAATGAAGAAGTAAGAATATCATTTTTACATTATATTATAATATTGCTTTATGTTAAAAATCATTATCACGAATTCAACATTTGTAACCTTAATTTTTATGAAATAATCTACTCATCATCATAACTTAATAGATATTACTATACTATATTCTCCTGCAATTATAATTTATATATTAACAAACGACTTGAAAAAAACTATATATTTTAATAAATTAGTTGAATTATTCAAGTAACATTTTTTTAACATCTTTCACATACTACCCGTTATAGAACATTAACAATGCTTTGTTACAGGATGTAACATTGAGTAAAATAATGGATGCTGAAGACATTTTACAGGAGTGTAAAAGTCAAAACAAAAAGTTAATTGATTTGTAAGTAGGCATTGCTACCATACTTTAATAAAAAGGTCAAATAAATTTTTAATTCTTTATGAATGTTTCCATCTTTTAGTTTAACAAGACCAGATATTTTGGAAGAGTTAGTGAATTTAATCACGGAAGAACCATCCAAAGATTTAGATGAACTATATCGTTATAAGTACTCAAATATTGCTTGTGAATTACTTACATGTGATGTACCAATACTCACTGAAAAGCTAGCTGGTATATATTATCTTATCTATACACTTGTAATGGTATATTCATAATTATATTTATTTTGTTTTTAAGCTAATGAAATGTTGTTATCCAAACTGTATTCTTTTATTGATAAAAAAGAGCCATTGAATCCATTATTGGCATCATTTTTTAATAAAACTCTTCATGCCCTATTAAGACGAGCCTCTGATCAGGTAATTTTGTCAAATTGTACATTTTTCAAAGTCTACACTTTATTCTAATTACTTAATTTTGTAAATTTTTTTTCAGAACTGGTTTTCGCATCAGTTTGTATGCTTGCAAGTAATAGAATCACTTAAAAGTCGCAAGAATTGCATTGATTTATTACTGCAACATATTGAAACATCAGCAATAATGGATCTTATATTAATATTACTGACTAAAATCGAAGGAGATGAAATGCGTCAAAACATACAAACTGTGAGTTTAAAGTAGTCCAACATCTACTAGCAACTGAAAATAATTTATGCTTCTATAATTGACATAACATTTTGAATAATAATTATTTAAATAACCAATATTTTTTTTAGTGGTTAGATGATCAACAGTTGGTTCAAAGAGTAGTACAATTATTATCACCATCTCTAGATTCTGAGAAGCACACTAATGCCTCACAATTACTTTGTGATATTATTAAATCACCACGCATGGAGCCCGATAAACGGCCTGACCCTATTTTACAGACTTTGCAATCGTATGTATTTTATTATTTTTTTTAAATTCTTGGAAAAACGTAATTTTTACATTTTTCAATATTAATTTCCAATGTATTTTGTAATATTAGGGAAGAAACAATTAAATTGATATTAGATACAATACTAACAGGCGAAAAAGTGGAAAGTAGCATTGTTGGTGGTATAAGAGTATTAATAAACCTATTAGGCCAAAAAGAAAATAAAACAACAGAAAGCAGCGAAATTTGCGGAGCTCCATTTAGTAATGTAGTAGAAAATGAGCTGCGTGATAAATTTGCATTGATAATTATACCTTACTTAGATAAGCTTAATCAATTATTGATTAACCCACCAGAAGTAAGTTTTATTAATATTTGAGCAATTTAGAAAAGATCATAATATGTATCGAATTTTTTCAGAAACCATCAGTTAAAACCACTGCTGGATTTTTAGAAAAACCATTTGGTCGCACACGTTTATATATGTTAAAGCTATTAGTGAGCCTTATTTCGACAAATAATATTAGTGTTTTTGAAAAGTTTGCTGAGCTTAATACTTTTAACATTTTATTGGTACATACATACATATATATATACATACATACATACATACATATATACGTACATACATAGATGCGTATGTGTGTATATTGATATTTTCATAAGTATTTGAACTATATCATTAATCAAGAATAACCTTTTTAGGACTTATTCTTCCAGTTTGCATGGAATAATTTCTTGCATACGCAAGTACAACAATGTTTATCATTAGCCATAAACTGTGATTGTCCAGAAAAAAGTAAAATTGTCTTTTCTCATGTAAGTATGTACTTTTGTAATCATTGCACATATAGGATTAATATGCAATCATAATATTGAAAAATTTATTAATCGATTGTTATATGTCTTTAGATATTTGTTGGCAGTAAATTAATTGAAAGGATTTTAGAAGCTTGGGAATATAATGATAATAATTCACTGTGAGTTTAGTCAAGTTTTTTTTACTAAAGTATTCTATATTTTATATTATATTATATTGAATTAATAATTGAAATTTTATATTATATTGAATTACAGTAATCAACAGAATAGTATAAGACAAGGATACATGGGTCACGTAATTATAATCGCAAATGAAATTGTTACACGTTGTACAGAAATTAATGAATTATCAGATTTTTTGAAAACAAATTTACCTGAAGAAACATCAGAAAAATGGAAAAGCTTCATATCAACTAAATTAGATGAAATCAATAGAAAACAACAGCTTATTTTGGTCAGTTTTATTTTTAATTCATAACTTATTATATATTAAATTAATTAAAATGCGTCATTTATAATTTAAGGGAGAGCCTCCTGAAGGTTACACAATGTCTTCTAGTGGCAATTCTAATGAATATGCTTCATTCTCACAAGATGCTTATGGGCAAGAAGTAAGCTAACCAATTCAAAATCAATACATTTGAAAGTGATATGAATAAAAATTATATAAATTAATGTCGTTTCAGTTATTTAGCAACTATCAGGAACAGTCATCAGGACCATCAATCTATGCAGACGAAGAATACAAATTTAGAATGAAAAAGTTTAATGATGGCGATGATACTTTTCAGTCAGTATTTTAATGAATATGCTTATTTTAATATTATAGTTTTGTTTTAGTTTATTGTTTTAATAATGCTTTATATAATACAGCAATTCTGTTGATAATTTAAGTCAAACGTTTGATTCAATGGATGACGACTATGAAAAAAGACAAGAAATCTTTAATAAATTATGTGATGAAAAGAAATTCGATTATGCTAAAGGAGACGAGTCATGGGAACATAGTGACGATTTTCCTATGCAAAAATCTGACTGGTTGAGTAAAAAGAAGCATAATAGTTCTAGTTCTTCAGATGAAGACGACGAAGATGATATTGGAGATCAAATAGAGGCAGATGTAACAGATCGTAAGTTTCAATTTAATTGGTCTGAAACGTCTGAAATACAATTAAATTATTTTTTTACAACTGTCTGATAATTTTTAGCTTGGAATTCTATGCATCCTTTGTCTAATTTTGCTGCTCAAGGTGCAACAACAATTAATTTATGGAACACAGAAGCGCCAAAACCTGTAGAACAAACAGGTTGGGCTAATTTTGAAAGTGCATTTAGCACAGATAATCCATTTCAAGAAGAACCTCGCAGCGATGCAAAAGCTGAACTGCCGAAAGTGCCAATCAATAATGAAAATACATCATTGCCAGAAAGTGAACCTGGCGGTGATATCAGTAATAGCGAAAATGTACAGTTTAATAGTGAAAAAGAAAATGTCAATATGATCAATGATTCTGAATCAAAGACTGAAGAAATAAACGTATCTAGTATATCTCATTCGGAATGTATAGAAAGCTCTGTAAATATACCTGACAGTAATGCAAATTTAACTGTTATAGAGAAAAAGTAAGTTTGAATGATTCAAACATCAATGATTATTTCCACAAGTCGTTCATTATTATAAATGTTACTTTTAACAGATCATCTGAATCCAAAGATATTAGTAAGAATTTAGAGGATATCTCCTCAAATATATCAGAAGCTTCTTCAGAGAACTTAACAAATGTTCAAACTGTTACCAGTGCCACAGATAATACAAATGTATCTCCAATAGCGACGTCTATTCCTGAGCCGTCAAAATAAAATGTAAAACATCAAGTGTCAAATAGCAATAGAGATACATCATATCAGAATGACCTTACTATTTTCCAAGAATACTTTACATTTGTACATTCATTACATTGGCCTTACACCTCTAAAGTGAGAGGATTATTGATATTTTTAAACTTGATACAATTACATTGAGTTGGCGTGTACTCAATGGAAACTGATGTATTTCATGACTCACTTTTACCTTTTGGCAATGTTCTCTAGTACAAATTTTTTTTTCAATGAATAATTGTTAAAAGTTCTTAAATTTTAACTTTATCGTAATATTACTCTATGCGGATACTCTTTGTAAACAAAAAGATGTCTGAACCGGTTTTTATAACATTATTTGTTTTCCATGAAAGTAAATATTTTTATTTTTAATAGAAAGCTTGAAATTTTAATTTGAATTTTATTGAAATCGATTAAGCAGAAGTTTATACATTAAAACTTTCAATAAGCAGTTTATTTAAATATTGTGAATTTTGTATTTTGAAATGTGAACTTGGTTGAAAGACGCGTCATACCTAAATAATTGATTAAATACATACTTTTAGTTCAAGAGCAATTGTTAAAATGTTGTCATCAGTAAGAAAACGTATGTTTATAAAACTCTAGTATTTTCACCCTTCAAACATTATAAAATTTTTTTACTACATACCATATGAGAAAATCTATTTTGTTATGCTTAATAATAGCAAAACATTAGTATTTACAATGCGTGAATATTATCAGAAAAATAAACAGTGGAACGCTCTGAAAAATTTGTAAAAGATGTTTAAGGAAACGATGTCTTTTTGTAGAAAAAAAGATGTATGTATTATATTATTTAACATGTTTTATGCGTGTTAATAAAAATAGTTAAAGTACAAGAATGCAAGATTTATGAGAGAAAGCGTTACGTGACAACGAGCGCAAAAATCTTTTCAGTCACCATATTCAAACTGATTCAGAATATTTTATTCGATTTGAATAATCAAGTATTAAGCAGCATTGTGTACTACGAAAAATATTAGTTAACCGTATGATATGCCAGGCTATTTGAAAATATATGACTATAGTCCGATATATAATTATAAATATATATTTAACAATAAATAGTGCTTTTGCTTTTTCGAGAGATTAAACAGAAGTACTTAGGTACAGTGCCTACAAAATGCTTAAAAAAATTTATTCCTATGTATCACGGTCTGGTGTACAAGAAAATTATAAGTATTTTGTTACGTTGTAAATTTGGGTTAAAAGTTATAAAGTTAGTAAGTGATATTATGTGCCCCTGTTTGCATTCCAATAAAAAAATTTTAAAATGAATTGAAAATACAATGAATAGCTGTAGTACTTCAATACTTTGTTTTTTTTGTTTGAATTTTTTTACTAATTGTCATCATCATAAAAAAAGAAAAACAATTTTTATAACAATAATAAATAAAATGAATAAAATTATGACATTTTAGAATTTGAAGAACAATTTGAGCAACGCGGGTACAATTGTACCAATACCAAGCGAGCACATGGCTAATTAATAGAAATGTCAGATATTTGCGAAAGGTTGAAATCGCGTTGTATGAAATCTTTATAGATAAATTTAATTCGATCAATTAAAATAACATTGATATTTAACAACTTATCATCTAGAAAACAATATAGAATAGATTTAAAACAGAAACAAATAAAGTAAACAGAAGCAGTAAATAAAATTGGCAACATTGCTTCATTCTGGCGCGCACAAGCAGCCCACGCCGCGCACTCGGATTGTGCGACATCGTTACAACTTTTTGAGGGTTGTGGACTTTTGCGGTTGCAGACAAGTGGCAAGGCGCTATTACAATAATATAGGTACTGAGGCGTCCCATACTGTTGCTGTTCAATTTAATTGATAGTATTATATCAGACAGTTGATACCAGTGCGTTGAATTTTTAAAAAGTGCGTAATTTTGATTATTCAATCGACATTTTGCAGGACAAAGGTGAAAAATGTCGGACGATAAAAAGGTAGCATTTTCTAACCTCAAAATCGGCATTTTGTTGTGCGTTTTTACAAGTGAGCATTATTCATCGTATTTTACAGGACTCTAAAGAATCTGAACACATAAACTTGAAGGTGTTGGGTCAGGACAACGGCGTTGTGCAGTTTAAAATTAAGAAACACACTCCTTTAAGGAAGTTGATGAACGCCTATTGCGATCGAGCGGTATGTTTACGTACTTTTATTTCACAAATTATTAACTACTAAATTTCACGTCGATTGCACATTTTGATTGAATAACCAATATTACAGGGGCTGGCAATCGCAGCAGTGCGATTTAGATTTGATGGCCAACCCATTCATGAACTTGACACCCCAGCAACATTAGAAATGGAAGAAGGTGATACAATAGAAGTGTATCAACAGCAAACAGGCGGTGGACTTTGATTTAGTTCTTAATTATTTTTTATACAAATTAAATTAAAAATGCTAAAATATTGTCTTCAATACTTTCGAGTAGATAAGTTTTTTTATCTTTTCAAGATAGTTTGTAATTAAGAAATAAGAATTAAACAGATTTCAATTTTCTTGTTTCACTTCAATATTGTTTAGTCATATAAATATTTCACAGATAATAAAAAATGTATATTGCAAGTGTCAAAACATTCATTATTTTTATTTATAACTTATAGTTACATTAGCCATTTCTGTTTTAATTACATTTAAAAAATAAAGATTAATATTGTGAAAATAATGTTCATCTTCTTTAACTGGCTAATCCAGCCTTTTGTCGGCAAAGTGCCATAAGTGCTCTAAGCATAAATTGTCGTCTAGACAATTGTCGAACTTGTTTCAAGAAAGCATCCAAATCAATGATACTACTTCTTAATCCTTCAGCTAGATAATAAATTGCATCTTCAATTGCTGCCTCCTCCACAAAAGCATTCAACATTCTGTAAATAAAAAGTTTTTTATAGTGTTATTTTTTGGTTTCAGTTTTTTAGAAGTTGTATATTTAATTTAATTGATACTAACTGTTTGTATAGAGGTGCAACTGTAGTAACAGCTTCATCAACGTCAATCGATTGATTATCAGAGAGCTTATTTACTTCTATTTCTAATTCAGTTTCTTTATCTTGTAGGATTTTGACATTCTTTTCCAATTCTGATTTTTCTTTTTGAAACTTGGTAAATAACTCTGTCAAACGAGCAGAACCATTGGATAATTCTTGTTGGGTTCGTCGTAAAGTTTCCAGTTCAGCTTGTAATTGTGAAAATTGTTCTCGAAGTCGCCGTCTCAATTTATCTCCTATAGCTGACAAAAGTGAAGCTCTTATATGTTCTTCAGTAATTGTTCCAGTACCTCCACTTGAACTTGTAGGTACTGGTGTAGACTGGAAGTTTTATTGAATTTCTCAAAACAATTTTCTGCATTATTAATATTTAGACAGAACATATTAAGTTAGTAGAAGTAAACAAAAATCTTAGTTTTGTAATGGCAAAAGTAATGCAATATCAAGCATCTATTATATCAGACTGAAAGTATTTTTTATATTAGTAGAAGTATGTTATTTTATATACTTACTGCAGGATATGGAGGGTTATTATATCCACCAGCACAATATCCGGACATAAGATAATTTGGAGTTGAACCTGGAAATGGATAGTTTGGGTATGGCAAATCACTTGAAGAATACCCATGTTGGGACTGAGCTGAAAATCCTCCCTGAGGTAAAACTGGTATAGATGGCATCATAGCTACAGTTAAAAATAAATTATTATTTAAGATTGCATATTCATTGGTATAATTAAAATGCTCAAATAGTATTTACGTTGTTTTGGATAAGGCGGTGAGTTCATTAAGTTATGTGATATTATTGGTTCAGTTTTTGGTTTTGCATAGACAGGTGGATGCTCTCCAAAAGTTATTATCATCACTTGAATTAAACCACCCAAGTCTGACTTGAACTATAGATCAAGTATTATTTACTATTCAGATAGAAATAAAAACTTATCATGAATGAATTATGATTCATTCTTGTACTTACAGGAGTCCACTCATGTAAATATGGCAAGTAAATTTTACCATTGTGATCAACAAAATTACTAACTTTAATACTCATTTCCGATGTTGGTGTGACATAACACATTGGAGCATTATTGGGATGAGTATCCATCAACCATATACAAATTGGTATATGGTAAGTGCTACCTGTCAAATATAACCGCAATAAGTATTTTATTTGCAGATTTTAAAAAAGCATATTTTTACCTTTATAAACTACAGGTATAGTGCCTTGCAAATTAATCAATTCTTTTCGAGATCCATCATTGAATACTGAAAGAATTAGACATGAAATATTGTAGACCATAACACATTTAATTTGTTCATTTCTTACTAAATGGTTCCACTTTCCAATGTAAGCTCCGATAATGTTCTAGTGCTTGAAACAGATCTTTTCGTGTAGCTTCTGGATTATTATACTAAAATAACATGGTTAATTTAATAAATTTGTCAACTAATATAGATATGTGAGATTTATTTTTACTAATTTTTACTTTAGATAGAAATTGTTTTATTTTTGATTCATCGACGTGATTCATTTTCACCATTGGTTCAGCTTTTGACGTAAAAAGAGATGAGACAGAAAATTTTAATTTCCTTTGTTGCATATATATATAGGATAGAGTGTAAAAAAATTAATGGGACGCCCAAGTTGTAGCCTTAATGGATGCGCACTATGACCCTAACACGAAGTTTTTTGAATATAGTAGATAATAACAATGAACTTTTAATACCATACGACTCGATAAAATTCAATAAACCACAAAAGTATAAGTTTTCTAAGACATTTTCGTAGACTGCTCTTATCTTGATCAAAAGTTATGTGAATTGTATGTATAATATGTATATATATATACTCAAGTATTACATACATACATATATACGATGGATATGTCAAGTACCGAAGTGAAGTATGCTGTGAACAACAGAAAGAAGCATGAAAACAGCTGAATTATAAAACAATACGAAATTTGAAAAATATATATACGAATAACTTTAACTTTGTATAAATTTGATTTGTATGAGTATTATAAATATTTATTAATATTAATATTTAAATTTAATATTCGTTTAATTAGAATATTTTTTTAAATTTTATGACCAACTGTCAACAAATTTAAAAGTCTTTATAATGTTATTATGCAAAATATACACATATTTCAATAATGTCTTATAAATAGTATATTTTAAGTTTGTATAATAAACAGAAATTTCAGATTGCTCATTTTTAATGCATTTCAAAATGTAACGGTTTTATCAATTCGTGGAAAATTACCACGAAATTTGACTCTAGAGTAAGAGTCTTGAGACTTTTCTTCACAGAGTGCTGTATATTCGGCAAAATTTTACGGCATTTAAGTGTACGTTTTCATTATCATTTCTACGTACTTGTTAAAACTTGTTACATAGAGCTTGAAGATAGAAATTGTGAAGGTTTACTGTTTTAGCACAAAAAATATTCTCTTTATAATTCATTTCATTGAAGAAATCATCATGCCAAAAGTAAAAAGTAAATTGAGTCAAAAGAGGAATTACAATTCAGACAGCAATGATTCAGGTAGTAGTTGGATAGATGAAGATAAATCAAAATTAGTTATTGATGATTCCAATAATGTAAATCGTTGGATTGGTATGCTAAATGAAAGTGGTAAGTTTTAATAATAATATAGCTGATTGAATTATTTGCCACAATCACCTTTTTTACACAGAAATCAGATTCGATTAGCTACTTCACATCAATTAATTTCTTATTTAGCTAATGCGTTTTTTACTCTAATTAAAATCTGAATTAACAATTTTAATGTAAAATAATAGATGTATTAAATTAAGAATACCTAATTTTTAGAAAATGTGAATGCAACATTTCTCACAATTTTGAAAGAAATTGAAGAAAATATTATAGAACGTATTGATATTTTCCAAAAAGATCTTGTATCCAAAATTGAAATGAAATTCAATTCAAAACCACAAACAGTTTTTAAAAGTACTAATATAAAAGAACTTTTAAATGAACTAGGAGTATCATTTCCATTTAAAGATGTCAAGTCATTTGAGGCTTTTGATAATGATCTTGAAAGCGATTCCAACAAAATGGATGCACTGGTAATTTAGTTATATGAATTATTTATATAATACAATCAATGACAAATTTTTTTTATATTAGAGGGAGTTATTTTTACAACATATTGATGGTATGTCTTCAATATCAAAGGATGTTTATATGCTCATGAAGTTTGTCTTAGCAGAATCTGTAATAATTCATTATACATGTACCGGAAAAAGATTTAAAGGACATCAGAAAAAAAATTTCAGTTCAACCAATCTCTATCTGTGTATGGAAGGTAAGAAAGAATATTATTTATTAAGTACCAGCTTTTGTTGTAAATTAAAGTCTTTTTTTATTTAATAACTATTCCAGATGTTCTAACACATAAGCATAAAAAACCAGCAACTACTTTGCAACTTAACACAGTATTCAGTAACTATTTTGCTAGAATCAATTTTAAAAATAAACCAGTCAGGTTGGAGATCAATGCAGAAGAATAAAAATAAATTTAATACTTAGTAATTTTTAGTTTTAATACTTAAAAATCTTTTAGTTTCAATACTTTAGTAATTCAATCACATTTGAAAATTGTAAATAACTGATAATAGGTAACTTCAACTTCTTATTTTTAATATCATGTTAGTTCATAAGCAGTTTGGGCAGGTAAAGAAATTAAAAATAACAAAATGCTTAAGTTGTAAGATGTATTCATATCGAACCTGTTCCATTTCTTGTACAAAAAATTAAAAATTTTCAAAATACCTAACTAACTTTATGAAATATAGATAAAATTCGATGCAAAATATACATTTATCATAATCGTTACAATCTGTACACCAAAAGTAACAGCCATATACAAAATAATATTGGTAACTAAATAAATATATCACATCTTCACATTCATACAGCGTTTACAATAAATGTTCTACCTTATATTTCATTTGAAAAATTTTAATTTTAAAAGTCATTGTTTCAATTCAATAATTGAATGAATAAACAAAGAATCAGTCAGCATGATTAATAATTATGGGCAATTTATATATTCAAAATGGATACTATTGCAAATGTTCTGAAAGAATTGTTCATCAAACAGTTTTGTCAATATAGCATAGATTGAGATGCTATTTGCAACATTTCTCAAACGTTGCTAATTTAAGAATTGCAAGAATATATTTATGTGTATACATTTAAACTTACTTATATATCTTTATCAGTGAAAAAAATGTATTATTATTTTAATTCATATAAAAATTTTTGAAATGTACAAATTATCATTGTATCAGTTTTATATTTATAATAGTTATAGATTTCAATTTCCTATACATTTTTCTCAGTAAAGTACCTGAATTTTGAACTTACATTTTGCTTTGTTAATTCAAACGGAATATAAATATGCATCTAATTTTGTTTTGGCATTTGGTGGTGATGTAAAAGGTGAAAACCAAGCAATTGAAAACCGTCCAAAAACTGCTTGAATAGATTTCCATTTGCTATTTCGTTCCCAACGAGCTTCTTCTTTTTTCAGCTGTTCTATACCCTAAAATCATTTTAATAATTTTAAATATGACTGTTATATTAAAATTATACTTTACATTAAAATCATGGTACTTACAGTTTCATCATTCCATATAGCTTGTAATTGTGTTCCCAACATCACTGCAGTAAATATAGCGAAAAGAAGAGCTTCAAAAGTTAAAAATAATAGTAGAACTACTGTAGCTGGAGGACTAAAGGTTGTACAATCACGCCATTCTTGCCTCACGCAAGTTGTAAATTGTTGTATGCATAAAAATAGTGATTGTAATGAAATTCCAGCTATGTAAAACTGAAATAAACAGTAATTAAAAATGAAAAAAAAATTCAAATGTTTAGTTATTTAATGATGATTTTTAAAGTTTTACCGTAAATAGGACAAAGTACTTCTGGTTATTCTCTCCTACACAGTTATTAACCCAAGGGCAGTGGTGATCCATTTTCCTTATGCATCTTTGACAAACTGAACAGTGATGTGCTCTTTCAGGTTTGATAGAACAACACTTTGGACATTTAAAAATAACTTGACCTTCTCTAAATCCCATTTGCTGTATCATTTCTTTTGTTGCATTTCCTTTAGGCACTGCACCCTTTTAAATTATACAAAAATGAGAAAAATAAGAATTTATTATTATTTGATACAAAGTTTTTACTTACTGGATCTGTAAACATTGTTTTTAAATGTGAAGTAAATGCCAAAAAAGTCAATGTCTGAAATAATGCCATGTTGAAACTTGAATATAAGGTATTGATAGTAGGTATGAGAATTACTGCCATCACAACAAATTCAGCATAGATAATCAACAACCATGTCAAAATGGCACAAATTATTCCACATATATCCTGTACATTTTTAATAATTTTAATAAGAAATATATCTATGTGATCTATTAAAATAAGGACAGTTTATAAATATTTGTTTACCTTAATACACCATAATGTTCCACCACAACATCGGTTATATATATCCCTTTCTTTATGAAATGGAGTATATTCATAATCCATATTGTTAAAAAATTTATCTGGGTCTGATGAAAGTTTTTTAACAAAAGTTTAACAGTAGTACAGATGAAAAGTTTGACATAGTTATAACTATTTTAAAATCAGACGCTATAAATAAATTAAGAATAGTTAATAATTGTTATTAAAATCACGTAATTTTCGAACAAGCTTTTTACTTTATTAATTGTAATCTGATAAGGAGTAATTTAATTTTTTTCTGCTTTAATTAATTAAAACAGCACTAATTTCTAACCTAGTCTATATTTAAACTTACTTATCAACATTCTATTCATTCTTACTGCTTAAAAACAATGTTAAAGTTTGTTGTAGTTTTAGATGTTCCATTATTTTTAGCATATAAAAAGAAGCATTTTTAGATAGTCAACAAAAAATCTAAAGGTCCTATAAGAGGTAACAAGAAATCAGCTGTTCAGGTCATCGTTCTATACTTAGGCGTTTAATTCGACTATCAAAAGTGTTTACTTTCCCATTGAGGATTTTTTAATGAATTGTTAGTGAATAATCCATCTTTCTTTGTTATTAATTTAAATTAAATTTTTACTAATTTTTTTACACATGTGTATAACACAGTTGAGTGTTAGTAGTTATTACACGCTACGCACGTCCGTGCAGAATGCAACTTTATACAAGCAGACGGAAACTTGACAGAGAAAAAGAGAAAAATCGATGTGATTTTAATTTAGATAAACTCTAGATATTGAAATATTGAAATAACTTCTGAGTAGATTATTATTTTTAATATTATGTGACAATTTGATTGAAGTTCGTGAAGCAGTAAGTAATAGCAGTAAAAAATGTATTAAATCTATAAACAAACGTTTTCTAAATCGCTATCATATGATACAGAGTCTTGTAGGTTAATTTGATAAATAAATTATCTTTGCCAATTTGCAATCTTATTTTGCAATCTGTTATATAAATAGCTATGAAAATTAATGTCTCCATGTATCTCTTATTGTAATATTATTAGTAACAATGTTAGTTTTTCATAAAATACCTTTTTTCTTTTAGAAATTTTGTATTATTATAAACTGTGATCATTTTTAATTTTTATTTGCAGGTCATTGGAAACATGATAAAAATTTTAACGAAGATAAAAAGTGTTTCAACTTTCTGATATGATGTATTGCTGAACTATATGTAGATATCATGTTAAATATAAAAGGATATCAGTTTCTGACATCAGAAAGTCTTTATTATTTGTAGAAAAACAAATATTTCTACAATGCCTTTTCGACTTCGATTGGCTCGTACAAGACCAGCAATACGGTTTCTTCAAAGTATAGCACTGAAATTTTGGGCTTTATCTGGAGCATATTTATTATTATGCTTCCTTTGTTATTGGATGTATGGAAGCATTCTAGCATTTTTTCTACTTTGTTTTGCTACTTTAGGTTAGTGTATTTTATAAATATATAAATTTTAACAACAAAATGTATTTATATATAAAAATGAACCTTAATATGTTTAGGAGTTTTGTATAATACTGAAGATCGTCTTTTATACTATCCAAAGTTACCTTGTAATTCTCGAATTTATGTACCAGCTCCATCTTTGCATAATTTGCCTTATGTCAGTATATACACAAAATCTATTGATGGAATTACACTTCATATGTTTTTTATTCCTCAACCAGAACCAATAATGAAAAAAGCTCCAACATTATTATTTCTCCATGGTAATGCTGGAAATATGGGTCACAGGTAACAGCAAATATTTAAAATATTGTAATAGATCAGAAAGTAAACTTTGAAAAAAAGATTACTAATAAAATTGTTATTTTCAGACTAGAAAACGTCAAGGGCTTATACAACAATATTCAATGTAATATCCTTATGATAGAGTATAGAGGGTATGGACTTTCTGATGGAGCTCCATCAGAAGAAGGTTTATACATGGATGCGCGAGCTGGGATTGAATATTTATATTCTAGAAATGATATAAACATAAATGAAATTATTGTTTTTGGACGATCATTAGGTATGTAAAAATTCTGATGTTTTAACAGTTTATCAAAGAAATAACTAACAAAATCCTGTTATTACTAGGTGGAGCTGTTGCTATTGATATAGCTATGAAAGATGATATTTCCCAACGAATTTGGTGCCTTATTGTAGAAAATACTTTTACAAGTATACCAGACATGGCCACAATATTAATTAAGTTTAAAATATTGCAGTATCTTCCATTATTTTGTTACAAAAATAAGGTATAAATTTAACTATTTCATCTTAACAAGAATTAAAATGATGAATAATTAACATTTAATAAATTTTTTTTAGTTTCTGTCATTGAACAAAATTCAATCTTTGACAGTGCCTGCGCTTTTTATTTCTGGGAGACAAGACAAACTAGTTCCACCTAAAATGATGGATAAACTTTTTGAGGCATGTGGGAGTTCATTCAAAAGAAAAGTTCAGATACTTGATGGCACTCACAATGAAACATGGAACAAATCAGGCTATTATCACCAAATAGCTACATTCCTTGACGAAATAAGAAAAAGTCCTCCACCGCGAACGGCATCGAAACCATGGCATATCGACGAGGTTTGATTGTCTATAAAATTAAATGATTCCATTTTTTGATGGACTTATGCAGTTACTTTAATGATAATTATTTTTAAGAATTGTACAAATGATTATCAAGAAATCAAGTCAGTAACCATAAATTTTGCTAAAACGATTTTATATTAAATATAAGCATTTTTATGTAATTTTGTTTGTTCCCAATTCGTTACTTATACATTAAGCTTACTACATATAGATACACATACACACACACGCGCGCGCACACACACATACACAAATATTTTATGCAAAATAATTTTATTCAATACTGACTTTTTTATAAGAACATTCAAATAGTTTATTTCTAATTTGTGATACTAAACGACAAATTAAGTAGTAATTTCATATTCGTTTATAAATGTAAGTAAAAGCATTATACAAATTTCAAAATCTGCTTTAAGTAACTAGAAAATCTTGAACTATAATTTAATTAAATGTCTAATTTTTCTCCAAAGTTATATGTTAAATACTTTAAGTAATAAATATTCTATTTAAGGCTGTAACAAAGGCAAGCATATAAGTAGTTTAAAAAGAATACTTATGCATGTATGCATGTATAGAACTACTGTGATTTAGTTAGCACAAATAAAAAGACTTATGTGGACATATATCTTCCAAGAATCTCAATTTCGTTTATACTTCAATATAAATAGTAAATGTCAATTGAAAAATGAACTTAAACAAAGAAATACACAAAGTTTACATTGCTTCAATAGCGACTGGTTCTCATAATGTATACAAATAATAAATTTAAGAAAGACGAATTTATAACGTAACAAGCGTTTTACAGACCACAGAAGCTTACAATGTTTTTGTGTTTTGTTTGAATAATAGATATTGTATGGTATTTTTAGTTTCAAGTATTCTAGTTGTAATAACTTTGAATTCCTACGGCAGTTTCTTCAACGTCTTTCTGTAGCAGAACAATTTTATTAAGATTATAGGAAAAATTGAAATACTTATGAATTTAAAGTCTAATATATTGCTGAATATTTACATACGGGTTATTTTGGCATAATAAAAGTTCATGTATAACGTATCATTTTTCAAGTAACTATTATTTTAAATCATTCAGTTATACTCTCGTATTCTATTACCTCGCAAGTTTACATTTTATAATAAGTATCATTAGCAAAATACTCTTTGTTTCCATAAACGAAAATCGAGTGAATTTGGTTGTATAATTTGAAGTAAAGTCTACAATTATGTCGTTATACGCAATCCACATTAGATTAAGAAAATGAATTTTATATAAGAATAAAAAAGATCGTTTATAAAAACACAAAATTTTGTTCTAATTAATTCCAAATATGAAGATCCATTATAAATGTAAATGTGATTATTAAAATCGTCGATTGATTCTTGTTCGACGTAAAGCAAGCCTCTTTGCCGTGATTATTCCCGTGACTACCAAAAGGAGAAGAACTATTACAGCCACGATAAGAACTACAACCATACCATCACTGGTATGCAATGTTATTGAATTATAACCGCTACCCAATATTGCTGAAGGTTCAACAATCATTCTAGAAGATTGTAGCGACGATTTTTCGCAGAAAACTTGGTTTTTCCACTTGTGCCAATGCACCATTCTCATTCCTCGAAAATCTTCTGGAGCCATGCATCTATATAATTTTGAATTGCATTAAGTGGATTAAAAGAAATATTACTTTAAGATACGATGCATTACCTTAAATCTAGAAGTAATGCTGGTCGTTTAAAATATAGCCATGGTACGAAGTCATCCAACATCCATTGTAATGAACAATTGCAATTGAATGGATTCCCTTCCAAGTCAACTCCAAATTCAGTGGATTTCAACTTAGAATCAAACATTTTTTTAGGTAGGTAGGAAAACTGATTATTTTTTAAATCCAACTGAAATAAAATATTTATTAAAATTTAATGCTAATTTTGTTTGTAGTAAAATGTATTTTATTTATGAACATTTACTACTTACGAAGCATAGATTTAATCCTTTTAAAGTATTTTCATGTATATCAGAAAGGTTGTTGTTAGCCAAGGTTAAATTTACGCAATGATTGGAATTTTTGTTTAATTTTCGAAAAGCTTTCTCGTGAATCTGCGTTAAATGGTTGATGTTCCGGATTATCAAAGATTTTATGTCTAAATTCGAATAAAACTCTATTTTTTGTAGAGGATTCTCACTCAAAATCAAATTTTCTAAAGCTGGATAGTTTTTATTATTCAAAGCTGGGGGTATAATTTCAAAGTTGTTGAAAGACAAATCTACAGTTTTCAAATAAAAAAATGGTGTGTCGGGTAAATTTTTTAATAAATTTCCGCTTATATTTAAATATTTCAATTCCGTCAGTTCACTAGTAAAATTGTCAAAATTACGAATCTTATTATATTCAAGATTTAAGGTTTGAATTTTTCCCAAATTGTTAGGGAAAGTAGTAAGAGAATTAAATCCAACATCTAAACATGTTAAGTTATCAGGAAATTTTTTTTTTTCTAAAACCTCAATCGCGTTGTGGCTCAAATTCAGTGTTATTAATTGTGTCAAAAATTTAAAGTTTTCATCGTACAAATTAAAATAATTGCAAGAAAGATCCAAGTGTCGTAGTTGAGTCAGTAAAGTTAAAGTTCCATTTATTGAGTCACTCAAATTATTGTGAGACATTCTCAAATCATGTAACTGTGGGTATGATTTTTGAAATTCAAAATCTAAATCGTCAATAGCATTATTGCTCAAATCTAGTACTTCTAATGATGGTAAATAAAATGATTGAATCGTTTTGATTTTATTATTTGATAAATCCAACACTTTTAAATTATTTAAGTTTTTAAAAACGCTACTCTTGATTTCTTGAAGATGATTATGTGACAAGTTTAAAATTTTTAAGTATTTAGAAGTCTCAAACATATCTGCAACTATGTAAGTAATACTAGTTTCTGATAAATCAAGAGCTCCAAGAGTCCCATTGTATTCAGCAGATACAAGGCCAAATCGTATAATATTGATACTGGTGAAATTAATTTTGTTACAGTTTATAGAAATAGTTGTATCACCTAAACAAAAAAAAAATAAGTTTTACATTGTTTAAATTTGACAATAATCTTTTGGAGATATTAAACATCTTATGTAATAATGTTAATTTATTTCTTGTTTAATGACATTTTTGTCAAATATAAAAGTAACAAATATTTGACACTAATTTTATTGATATTAAGAGTAAAAAGAAAAAGAATCGATTGTTACATTTTTTTATAATGTATTAATATAAACAATATTATCAATAACTTAATATCACATACGAATAGTATTTTAATGACTAAAAATTATAATTTACTTTACAAAAATATGTCTTAAGAATATTATAAAACCATTTTAAACATGTTATACCTGTTGAAGAACACAAGCAAATTTGACAAACATCAGCATATGAATTTTGAACTACAAATGTAATTACAAAGTAAAGTAACAAGAAATTTGATTTACAGAAGATTTCCATATTTGACACTTTTACAGCACAGTTGCTTCAATAGATGTGAACAGTACTTTTAGAAGCTCACTCACTCTTGATAAGATAATGATGTCATCCAGGTAATTTCAACTGACTTTCATTGTTTCCTTATCAATTTGACTCTACAAACGTTATCAGTCCAGTATGGTGTGAAATGAATGATTTTACTGTGAATTTGTGATATGCATCATAGTTATGCCGATTGTAAATAAATATTGATTTATTATTTATTCATAAATCTTAAAACATAAATATCAATAGTTTTCTTTTTTAATTTCAATATGTTAAACAGATTTAAGGGATGAAATTTTAAGATTTTTTAAGAAAGTTCATCAATGTTGTTTGCTTCTTTTTTGCTTGAGCCTCTATTGGTTTCGGCTTCTGAGGTTCTTTTGTTTTAATTTCAACTTCTTCATTATCACTGACTGCTTCATAAATGTGAATTCTTTTTGTAACAAAGAAACCTTCTTCATCTTTGAAAGTTTTATCAATAATTTTTCTAACCATTCTTTTACCATTTTCTCTTTTTTCAGCTGGAGGAGATGGTGATCTTTTGACCATAACTTTAGGATGTATTTCTTCAACTTCCATTTCTTCTTTTTCATCAGCACTCTCTCCAGATTCATTTTCACTAGAATCTAACACTAAAATTCGTTTACGTTTTGATTCTTTTTCTTGACTGCGGTGTCTCTTTTTACCTCTTGATTCAGATTTAGATTTTGGTTTTGATTTTTCAATTTTTTCTTCTGTTTTTGTAATCTTCTTAGATTTTTCAATTTTTTCTTCTGTTTTTGTAATCTTTTTAGATTTTTCTTCAACTTGAAACAGTCTATTTTCCTTTTCTTGCATTTTCTTTTTTTCTTTTTCTTGATCTTGACTTTTGTTTGACTTTCCTTTTTCTTTAGACAACTTTTCATCAGTTTCTTTGGGTAAGTTCTTATCAGTTTTGTTAGATGACACTTTTTTATCTTTTTCAGTTGTATCTAAATAATTAATTTCCCTATTTTTTGGAGAATCAATAGATTTGTTTGGTGCTGTTTGGGGCTTATTTGGAACTTTTCCAAAAAGATTATTGAATCCACATTGTTTGGATTGAATTGGTTTCTTGGATGTTTTGTTATTTGATTTATTCAGAGGAGACTTTTTCTTTCCTTGTACCATTGTTGTTTCTGAATGTGCCTTTTCTTTTTCTTCTAATTTTTCTTTTTCTTCTAATTTTTCTTTTGCTTCTAATTTTTCTTTTTCTTTTGCTTCAACTTTTTTATTACATTGCTTTATGGATGTGTCAGTTGGAAAAAGCTCAATCTTTTTATCTACAGGTTTTTCAGCAACTTTATTGGTAGCAGTTGAAGATTTAACAGACTTACTTTCTTCTTTTCTAACATTTCCAATGTAACGTAAACTTTCAATTTCATCATCATTCCTTACATATTCCTCATTACATTTAATTGCACTGTAACGCAAATCACTTTTACCAACTAAAGCTAAAAGCTCAATATCTGGCAATGATTTCTGAATGCTGTATAAATGTTCACAGTCAATTTTAACAAACTTTGACTTCACGAAATCTAATTCAGATTCTTTTACAACTACTACGCGAAAAGAACCATCTTCCAATCGGCCAACTAACAGAAGAGTAGCAAGTATTTTTTCTTTGCTTTTGTATTTATTCCAATACTGTTTTAAAATATCTTTGGCTAGATTAATATGGATTTCAAATTCTTTGCTTAGCCACTTGTAGGTAACCTAAAAATTAGGATTCTCAAGTATTCATTGCATCGAAATGATACATTAATTAAAAGACTACTTATAACTATTTTATATTTATATAGGGTTATCGACATGTTTTAAATATTACATTATTTTCATTCAGTTTTGGACTTATTATAAATAGCTCAATTATCCATCATTCCTTAAGTTAATCAGAATGGTGGATGACTGAAATGTTAACAAAAAATCCATAACTGTAAAAGACTAATTTAATATTTGGAGATGAGTCACATTACATTCCTGTAATGTGGCACTCTTACATTCTTAACTATACATCTTAACTATATATCTGTACATCTTACATTCTTAACTATAAGAAATGGAGGTTAAATAAACCGAAAATAAAATTTTACATACCAGTTTGTCATCGTCATGGATAAAAGATTTTAATGCATCTTCATAATCACTCAAGGCCATTTTTTCCGAAAGAAAAATAAAACAAATATATTATAAAAACGATTTTACATACGTTACTTTTCGATATTTGATATTTAATTCACGTTGTTCACGCGAATGCGAACTAAGAAAACAATATATGTAAACGTAAAGTGAAAACGCGCGAAGCGCGAGTTTGGAGTTTATCACTAGCGGCACCTACCTAATATCAAGCGGGGGATTTTTATGGATTTTAAGGACAAAAGTGGAAAAAAGTACATCTTTTTTGTAACAAACCGTGTTTTTAATTTCTGTCTTCGTTACACATTTACAATATACATATATTCATATATTTATAGATCTTAATATATATTTCTCGTTATATTTTTCTCGCATTAAGTTTATATACGTAGGGCAATTCATAAATTTAATTTTGCATTTAACATAATTTGCTCTTTTTATAACATTTCTCTTTAATATCTTATCAATTTCAACTTTGCGAACTTATATTTTTTACACCAAATTACAATTGTCCAGATATGTCTCTTATGTACAAAAAGGGATTTTACAATAAAAGGTACGTTTTTATCTGTATGCTGTTGTACGAAGTTAATAGTGCGATTTCATACAAAAATCTGTTTCAGTTTTCTAAACGTGTTTATCTATATATTTCTGGACCTCTTTTTTCTATATCTTTCAGAGCGACTCGGGAGAGCTCAGAATTCTTCGATAACGTAAAATTACACTTTTGCACTGCCACTCATAACTGTATTACTTAATCAATACAGCTTTTCAAGTTACACCAATTACGTGTAATTCGAAGGGTCGGTTTTCAAATAACGCTATTTGATATTTTATTTACATATCACTACATCACTTAAGTTAAAAACTAGTATTGTTTGACAAAATGTATAAAACTTCGATATCCATTATGTATCATCCATTTTTAGAAAAAGCGAGTTTCTAAATGGTTGCTTCATTAACGTGTCATGTGTCAAATAATGAGCGTCATTTATATGCAAAGGATGAATGGTTTTTTTAATTGCCATAGAATAATATAAATTTTGTAGAGAGCTAAATTTGTTGCATCTCTGGTCATATGTACGATGAACTTCGTTTTATCGTTAAAACAAAAGAATAGGTAAGTAACTGACAAACAAAAAAAGAAAAGATTATAAAAACTAAAATGCAATACTGTATTTTAAGAATGAGAAGTTTCCGCGTGCAGGAAACACTACTTGTGTTTTGTCCAAGATAGTGAAGTAGGAGTTTAAGCTTCCTCCGTATCATCTTGGAACTTGTGCAAAATGATGCAAAAAAGGCGATACCTAATAAAACTAATGGTCGAGTGTCTCATAGTCGTCACTAAAATTAAGAAAAATCCAAAGAGAAAAAGATAAAATTTACAAAAGAAGTCTTGTTAAGGAATAAAGAACTATTGCACGGGGTCAATTTGTCTACCCCAGACTACTAGGCAAGTTTAGAGAAGGGCTAGAGCCAAGCCGGCCTGGGATGTGGCGGTGGATGCATATAGTACTGCATGTAGCGCTGGTAGGCCGCAGGATCTACGCCTAGATTGGGTCCGTGCGGCGAGACATAGGACGGCACTGCTGGTGCATACGGACTGGCACGCTGAGTCGCCGAGTGCAGGAATGAGTAGTTCCTGGCGGCAGCTACGGCTGCTGCAGTCTGTTTATTTGCGGCTTGCACAGCTGCATCCGAAACCGGCGTTGACTGCTGTTGAACCTGCTGCTGAGCCTGTTGCTGAGCTTGCTGTTGCTGCTGCTGCAGAGCCATGCTATAATAGATCGATGAATTATGGTTGCGGAACTCGTCGAGGAAGGCGTAAGCGGCGGCATCTTTAGCATCGTAGAACGGCGAACTGTTGGTCGCACTTGCCGAGCCGGCAAAATTAAATGCGCTGCTTGGCTGTTTAAGGCTCATGGGATCAGTACCCGTAGCACCATACTGCGGGAAACCCGGTATGCTTGTGGTTTGCTGATCGGTAGCAACACTCAGCTGAGCTTGCTGCTGTTGCTGCTGTTGCTTACTTTTCTTACTCTTCTTCGATTTAGTCGTTGAGAGAGTAGACTGGGCTACTGGAGATTGTTCTGGTCCACGTCTTTGCATAGACAACATACTGGAGTTCTTGACAGCGAAACTCTGCAGTAAGTTAAGATCAAGCTCGGATTGACTGGGCGTCGCCGTTCTTGCGTACGCTGTTAGCGGATCATTTTTACTCGGAGGCCGAGGTATCGATAATAGCTGTTGTGTTTCCTTAGCAGTACGACTGACCAACCCCAACTGTAGTCTCGTGTACGCAGGATTGGAATCAGCGAGGCTACTGGAAAACGCATTGTCGAACTGGTTGGAAACATCGGACTGCGAGTGCGCGAGAGCCATTAATTGATCGAATCCAAATTGGTCCTGGCTTGCACGTTGCGTCGCTTGGGCTTCGCTGACCGTTGAAGGTTCGTTATAAGTTCGTTTCTTGACGGGTGCTAAGCTGTTACTGGGACTAGGAATACCAGACGTGCTCTTGGCACTTGCATCAAAGTAGCCCGGATAAACAGGCCGACAAGCAGGATTTGGCATGGGATACGGAGTCGTTTGGAAGCTGCTCGAGTAAAGGGATTCGTGACTGGCTAAGTTCTGCTGGAAGCTCAATAACTGCGATTGCTGCTCTTGAGTTTGCTGAACCTGAAAATATAAATGCATGAATATCTATTGTTTAATTTAATCAAATAAAATTAACATTAATTTATCTCATTAATTAAGAACCTGTCTTTGTTGAGCCAATTGTTGCTGTGCCTCATGGTTAGTCAACCTGGATGTCGAAGATCTCGCCGTAGGATCGCTACCTAATTGACCCGGAACGCGGTCAGCTCCGGGGTATACACCACTCGGATAATTAGCTGCGTATTGCGTAGTCGAAGCTGACTGATATACCTGTTGATTGAGAGCAGTTAGAGGGTCGGTGCTCTGCTGTTGCACATGCTTATCCTTAGTGGCAGTGGGCTTCGCGATTGCCGTTGATCCGCTATACGGAGACTTGACGGGATGACTGAAAGGCGACGTTGAGATATTTTGGGAATAATTCTCGGGAGCTTTTACAAAATCAGCTGCCGGAGCCTGTGCTTGAATTTGAGTAGTTTGTGTTTGAATCTGAGCAGCTTGTACTTGAATTTGAGCCGTTGGCTGCGAGTAGTTGGCGATTTGTGGAGTAGCAACTGGTGCCTGTTGTTGCGACTGCTGCTGTTGTGTAGTCGATTGTTGAGGAGATGGCTGCGAATATGTCCTAGGTTGCTGAGGTGAAGGTTGCGAGTAACTCGGTGGCGTTTGCGGCGATGCTTGAGAGTATGAAGGTGGTTGTTGCTGTGGTGACGCTTGAGCCGAGTACGGGGATGGTGTTTGTGGCGACGTCTGTGAATACCCTCTCGGCGACGGTTGTGCTATCACTGTCAAAAAAAATTTCATTTTTAAAGCATCGTTACATTTATTAGTAAAAAAGTACAAAAAAGTATGCATTTGAATTTTTAATGAACTTACCCAAATCCGGCTGAGAATACGGACTCGGTGTCTGAGCTGTATAGCCAGGTGGTTGTGGTGAAGGCTGCGAGTAGGTCGACGAAGGTGGTCTCGGCGAGACCTGAGAGAAGTTAGATTGCTGTGGTGACGACTGTGAGTAAGGTGAATGTTGCGATTGCGGTGACGGCTGTGAATAACTTGGAGGTGGCTGAGGCGACGACTGCGAGTACGGTGAATGCTGCTGCTGGGGAGATGCTTGCGAATAATTTGCTGGAGTCTGTGGCGACGGCTGCGAATAGTTCGGAGTCGGCGGCTGCTGAGGAGATGGCTGCGAATAATTTGCTGGTTGAGGTGATGGTTGAGGATATGGCGATGACTGCATTGATGAAGGTGACTGTAGATAGAAGTTAGTAGTACATTTCGATATTAGTGCGAGAAAGTAATTATACCCGTATGAGAACGTTTAAAATCGAACGAAGCGAAGTTCAAGAGATCAGAAGATGGTGTATCGTGTATTTAACTTAATTTTTTGGTACGAGACGAGATTTCATGCACGCTTGTTTTCCTAAATATACGTAAATCGAATTTTCGCGCACCAAGTGCCGTATATTTTTATTAGTTTACAATTTTAGATGAATACTATTGCAAGAGATGAAAATATAGCGTTAAACATACCTGTTGCGGATAGATCGGTGACTGGTTCTGTGTAGGTGGAATGGAAGGTGAGTTGTAAGACTCGTTCTGAGGTGACTGTTGTGAGAAACTACCAGGCGATTGAGCTTGAGGTGATGGCTTCTGGAAAGACTGATGGGAAGGACTAATTTGCGAATAGAGCCTTGGTGGTGTGGGCTGAGTAGAAGGATAAGCCGGCGAGAGTGGATGGTGCTGAGGCGAGGGTGTCGGTGGTAGCTGGGCGCTATACCGGGGCGGCGTCGTATAGTATGGACTGTTATAAGGACTGCTACCCGTAGACAACGCATCTTGATAAAAGCCTGCACCACGAAGTTGAGGCTCCATTGCAGCTGGCGATGACAAAATACTCGATGACGACTGCAGTTGTTGCTGCTGTTGTTGAGGAGAACGGCCCGTTCGACTTGGTGGCGATTCTTGTGAGTAAGACGAGAGCGATTCGCTTACACTGCTGCCACCTGTGCTTATACGTCTTTGACGGGTACTGATGCCGATGATACTAGTGTCTAGTGTCTCTTCTTTCTTCGGTACAGCTTCCTCTTCTTCTTCTTTCTTTTTAGATTTTGGAGCGCCGAATGCTTTGAACCTGCAAATCACATACAAAAATAAATAATAGTAAACAATATTTTTTTCACTAAATTATGCACAAATGTATTTTTACCAAGCACTCAAGTTTGGAGTAGCGGATTTCGGTTTGGTCACTTCTTCACTCTCAATTCGCTTCTCTTTTTCGTCCTTCCCAGCGATAGTCAACGGTTTCTTAGTGACTGCAGTCTTTTCCTCTTCGGTGACGATGCCCGCGGGAGTCGCAGGTTTGCTACCGCACTCGTCGTCTTCGTCATTTGAACCGTTAGGATTAGGTGATGATACGATACTTTTGCAGATCAACTGAATTGAGTCGGCGTTCTTCAAGACCGTACCCAGGCTAAGCTTCGGTTCGTCATTTATTTCTTTGTTATTTTTGTCCTTCTCGTTATCTTTGTCTTTGTTGTTGACGGCAGGATCAGCACTAGGAGCACTCTCGTTCGATGGTGGCTTCTTTGAGAGTAGATTTCCCTTACTCTTGCCTGGCTGCAGTCGGTCGATCGTCCGTTGGACTTTCTTTGGTCTGACCGGAGCGATAGGCCCGATTAATTTGATTGAGCTCGGTCTCTTGCGTGATGAAGTATCACCACCACTAATGGATAACTGTTTGTTTAAGGTTGTAGCTCGAGATGAGTCGCTAGTTGACGCTTGAAGTACCGGAGAATCGCTACCCGACGAGAATTCAGATAGTCTTGGAGCATCATCCAACCATTTATTGATGTCCTGCGCATAGGATACAAATTCGTTAAAGTGTTATACATTTTTATTTTTAAAGTTTTTGGTGGTACTGGTAAAATCAAAGTTAAAATGCATTAATCATTTATATTCTCTACATGCAGTGAATAATTTGTTTATAACTTACATTGAGTGTTCTCTCAGTAGCTTGATGAAGTGCTTGAATAGCTGATTCTGCTTTACTAGATCCTTTGGGATGTTTGCTCGGAAATGTTTTGATTTTCTTTGGCTCACTCTCATCTTGATTTTGACTCTTATTTTCGATACTTTTATCTTCTTTACTAACTTTTTTAGATTTTATTTTTTTACCACCTAATTTATCAATATCATGATAGGTACTACCATTAGAAGGCACTTTTTTAGAAGTTCCGTGAAAAGCATCACCTTTTGAAGATTGTTTCTTTTTCTTTTCTTGCTCAATTTTCAATTTTTCCTCGCGTCTCCTTTCACTTATTCTATCTTTTAAACTATCAAGAGACTCAATATCTTTATTTGTAACTATCGACTCAATAATTTTCGCGGCGGATTTGCTAACGTTCGCCTTGTTTTCAATATTTTCCATATCGCTATCTTTTTTAAGTTCACCATTTTTAATTAACTCATCACTGTTCCTTTTGGACTTTTTGTTCTTATCCTTTTTATCATGTTTACTAGCAGGCTCTGACTTTTCTTTGTTTAATTTGCGGCTGTTCTTCTTATTTTTTGCATTTATAGAAGACAGTTTTTCTTCTTCTTCCAAAGATGTATCGGGAGATTCTTTTTTAACTTCTTTTTTATTTTTCTTTACCCTGTTTATTAAAACATCTACTTCCTTACTTTCATTTTTCTCGATTTTCCTACTTTTACTTTTTGAAATACTACTTATTTCGTAGTCTTCCTCAAAATCTTCCTTTCTCTTCCTGCTCTCTTTTTCTTTTGCAACATGTATTCCTTTCTCGTGCTTAGATTCTTTCTTTTGCTTTTTACTAGATTTAATTTGTTGTTCGTCAATTTCTTCTTTAACAGATACTTTTTTACTTTTGGAAACAGTTTTATCAGTATCAGACGATTTTTTCTTTTTTGATTTTATCACATTTTCATCACTTATTGCACCATCGTTTTCTTCTTCTTTGTTTTTTTCTTCAACTTTCATTTCACTCTTACACTTTTTCGATTTTTTCTTATCCTTCTTCTTTTCTTTCGTTACTTTTACCTCTGGCTCACTTTCTTCCTTTTCATGTTTTTTGTGTATTTTATTATTTAATTTGTCTTTTTTACTTAACTTTCGCGAATGTTTATGTCGTTGACTATGTCGAACAACAGAAGGCGAGGAAGATTTATTTTTGTAATTTGGAGAACCAACACTAGCACCAGAACAAGTAGATAAAGAATCGTCACTTGAATGTTCAAATTCTAAATACCTTTCTACTGCTTTATCAAAAATGTCTTTAAGGTTCATAGCCATTTCCGTGTATTCTAAAAATGAAATAGTAAAATTTTTTTAGTAAATGAATTTTAAATAATGAAAATGGACTGAATTTGCAAAAATAATTTACCGTTGTCAGAGCCATTGTATTGCCTGCAATTATCTATGATAAGGCGAAAATCTCGTTTAAATTGATTAATTGTTTTATAAGCTCCTTCATCAAGTTTTTCTTCCATTTTTGTCAAGTCCATTGGTTTTCGAACAACGCTATAATATCTATAAAATAAACAATAAGTTTAAATTATGACTTCACAGTTTCATTATATTTGAAGATATAAAAGAATTACCTAGGCGCATATTGCTCGTCCACAGGGTCAGTGAAGGGCCATGAATCTTCATGATCTTTCAGTATTTTGAGAATTTTGTGCATGCCCACTTGTTGTTCTTCTTCCTCGATGCCAATCTCGTAACCGTAGCCATAGCCAGACGATACGCTGCCTCCATGTTTCACAGAGCCTTTCTTATTTTCTAAATCCGTCAAATCGTCACAGGTATCTATAAGAATTTGTCCGTCGACAGAAGCTAATGAATTGTTGGTCTGCCGACCTTTCTTTGTCACTGGTAGAGGTATGATTTCATCTTTCGCTTTGATGTTTTTTAGCGTTTGGCTCGAGCTCTTTTTGATAATCTTGTTAGATTTTGTTTTAACTTTGCTTTTAACCATGGTTGGTTTGTCGGTACCTTCGCTGTCAATATTTTGGACGGTTCGAGGGCCGCTGCGCTGTAAAATCTTGCGTCTTTGCTGCTTTTCCTTTAAGTCAAACAGCTTAGGAATTTCAGGCATAAAGTCCTTTGAAAGTGTTTTGTAAAGTTTGCGCTCGGTTGCGAATTCCTAGTCAATGTATTAATTAAAATCTTGGTATACGATCAATTATTTTGATTTTGAGTAAAATAGATTATAGTAACTTACCGAATCTTTGAATTTTTCTACTAAACGGCTCCAGTCCTGAAGAGTAAAGCACACTACTTGCCAAATACTCTCTCTTCCTTTATTTCTGTTTGTATAAACTGGACAATTTTCCTCCTTTTCTTCTTCCTCCTCTTCCTCCTTTGCCAATCTACCCCGACGCCTCTTATGTCGTTTGTCTCTTGATCGACTTTTTTGCTTTTGGGATACAGTATCCGAAGTGTCAACAAAGTCCTCCCTGTATAGTCGAGTTCCGTAAAAGTACCAATAGGCAGAATTCTTGTGGTCATGACCTAATGGTTCAACTCGTAGACTATCAGAGTCTAAGTTGCCAAGTGACTCTTCCTATATAGGAAATTTACTTATATAACATTTTGACAAGCAGTACAGATATTTATTATTAAAATTTAAACATACAACGTCGTTGGCATCAAGTCTAAAGTCACAGAGGGCTCTTAGTATTTCAACTTTCTGACGAAGTGGCAATAACTCAAAGTCTGTGTCAGTATTGAATGGGTTTTCACGGTTACATTCCTAAAAGATAATTTTTTTTCATGAAATAATAAACTTGCAGATAATGATTTATATCATACAACATATTCAAACTAGAATTACAATACATACTTGACATTTTTTACGGAAGAGCCTTCTAAGGAACATCTGATAATTAAAAGTGGAGATGTCATTGCGAGTGTCTTCAGGTAAGCAGCCTTCTAATAATCTGACAATGAGTTCTTGTAATAAATGACCTTCTGTGCCACTATCAGTCAAAAGCGCTTCTTCCAAATCCTACAGTATTATAAAATGATAATTATTTATTATAAAAATAACTGTATAATTAGATAGCAAAGGCGAGACAGCAGGATTAAAAGCAGCCTATAGTTCTATAAATATTTTTATGCATTAGTCATGCAACAAGCATGTAGGTATTTTCTAATCGAGCAAAAGCTATTTTGCATCTTGATTAGATACCTCAATATCAAAATCCAGAAGATTGAAGGCGTCTCTGAACAAGGAGCAAAAGTGTGCTATACTAGGCACCTCCCACCACGATTGTATGTCTAGAAAATAAGGGAGGCTATTTATCTTTATTTATAATTATTTCTAGTGTGACGAAGGTATATTGAATCAGACATATTCAAAAAATAGTATTTCTTGAGAAAGGAAACAACTGCTTTGAATCATAGTAATGTAATAATAATAATAATTTTCTTTAATTTTAATGTTTAACTAATAATGTGTAATTTTTTTGAAAATATAAAGCACTTGAACAATAGTTTGATTTGGAGTGCTGCACAGTAATAACTAGAATTGTAAAGTGAAGATATTCAAGTATATGGGTGCTTTGGTGAAACACGCGACATTTTCTTGGGTGAAGAAAAAGAAAAACAAAAAAACGAACGACTCTAACGCGTGAAACGCGTGGAAATACGCACGCTTGTACGCACTCACACGTAAACAGGCACTGACGGTCGAGTAAGGGCACTCACCTAGAATCCCAATGAAAGTGGGAAACATAACCCGTCCCGTACGGACAATCAACACTTGCTGAGTTTATCTCACTCGGTGTAACTGGCGACGAATATAGAAAGAGGCCGCAATTGTCGAAAAAACAACTAAGGAGCAGTTTGGGAGCAGTAACGGCGACTATGCCTCGTCGAAGACGAGTTGCGTGTAGTGGCGCGTGAACTCATAGCTCGGCGCCTCCTGCAGCGTCGGCGTTAATACTTTTTGCTTTTCAACTCTGTTCGTTCGCTCTCTTTCTTTCTTTCTTCTTCTCTCTCTCTCTCTGTCTCGCTATTCTGCCGGGGAGGTGAAATAACCGCGAGTCGGCGGTCGCGGATGACTCGTCCTGTACATGGCCCGACGCTCTCTGGTTCTCTCAAAACATCGGCTGCCAACAACGGAGTCAGATCGGGCGCTGCTCCTGAGAGCGACGCACAGGGCCCCCCCCCACGATCGATCCAGTTTCGCTCGAGCTCCAGAATAGCGTTGTTTCACCGAACGGCCGGCTGCTCCAAGGGGACACCCACCCAGCCGCTCTCTCTTCCTCAAGTTGCGCGGTCACTGCAAGAGGCGGCTAATTTAGTGTGTGTAAGGGCGCGGATATGGTTAACTACGGCGAATCAGACAAGCGACAATCGCACGTACATTACCACACTACCAAGTGAGCTGGCAGTTCAGCTCGCACTGGCTGCGCAGCAACTAGCCCCCAATGCACGCACCGCAACCGAGTCTCGTTTGCTCTCTCACTCTCACAGCTTTGATGCGCGGGAGGCGCTCTCCGCAGAGAGTGCCGTGTTATTCGGTTGAAAATCCAATCCGCTGCTACTCATACGTGTGACTAGAGACGGTTAGACGTGCAGTGCTTCTTCAAAACCGGTCATTGACCGTCCGACCAACTTGAATTTTCGAGCGTTATTAACTCCAATTTAAGCTAACCTTATTTTTTAACTAATTTTTCGTTTACTTTACTCATTTTTCGAATATAAGAAGGCTCTCAGAAATGATTTATTGGTTAAATTTTACAAACAATATCGTCAATCAACTAAATTAATTGTGAGTTTATAGTGTTCGACCGGTTGATTCGTGACGAGTATGCCGCCCTGTAATTCGCGCCAATCTGTCAGGGCGGTCGCGAGTGTTAATTATATGCTTTCCTAAATACATGTACGTTATTTTCCCGTGCAATTATTAAAATATATCATATTCCATTTTGCTTGATCGATCGATTGCATTTACATTTAACTTTTATGACAGAATAGTGTTATCAAGGATCGCAGCAGCGACCTGGGCATGAATTCCTAAGGCGCGGTTTTACGACATCAAGGGTCGTGGCAGCGACCTAGGGCATGAATGACAAAAACGCAATTTACGACTATACACAACAGCTTCGAGTTAAAAAATTTATTACAATATCAGTTACATCATTATATAAATTAAATTCATAAAAAAATTATTTTTCTAACGTTATTTTTTATCATACTTAAGTAAGTTTACATGACCTAGATTGCTTAATCTTTATTTTACAATATTTTTTTATGTTTTTTTTATAAACTCTGAATATGGTCAGATATACTTTTTTCTTTTCCTTTTTTATCCGTTATCTAGATTTCAGATAGTTAGATAAAAAGATGAACTTATCTCAAATTCGTCTGCTTTGTTTTATGGCTATAAGTATTACACTGTCACGTTGTTTATATGTAAAAAATAAAAAAATAAAATCAGAAGATGAAAAATCATACGAATTTCTAGTGTGTGATTTTTTATTTTTAAATATCTGGAGTGATTTTGGTTTTGACAAGATTTAATATGACTGAAAACATTTTTATTATAAAAAAATATTCTAAAATATTAATTAATTGTATAAATAAATAGGCTTAAGGCCATCAGATACCAATTCATCTGGTGTAATTTGTGTATAAATATGAAAAAAATTATTGTTATTTTAAATAATTAATAGTAAAAACCAAGAAAAAAAATTAGCAGTATCGAATAGTATTTTTCAGTTCCAGCTGTCAGATACGTATATTTTTATTGATGTTTTTATCTCATGCTTAAGAAATCAAGTCAAGTTTACTTTGTCATAAATTATTTGTTTCAGAGTTTAGTTTTGATAATATTAATCTAGTAACTTATTAAACATGCTACGATTACAAGAATCGATACAGATTAATATGAAAATCCATCAGCAAGATATATTTATGCATTTCTTAATTCCATATATGGTTTTTCCTGAAATGTTTATAAAACTTTATTGAAAGTAGTGACATCTAGAAATGGCAAATTTGTTGCAAATTATTTTGAGATGACAAATTAGATGACTATATACCAAGTAACAAAAACAATCTCCAGGAAAGTAAATAGCAAGATGTTATTTATATGTTAAGATTTTCATTATAATATACAGTTTTTAGTTATTATTTCATTCACACACATATCATATTTAAATAGATTAATAAAAGGTTTTCAGATTTCACTTATACAACCAGAAATTGACATACAATCACCACATAGGTATTCATTGAAACCAAATAAAATTAAGTAGGTTACTATCCCAACCGAATATTTTTGCTGTTTTACAAAATTATAATTAAATTTTGTAAATTAAAAAGAAATATATTTTACATTTGAAAATAACCTTAATACCGCAGTTATTTCATATAAAAAGTTGTGTAAATTGAATTAGTATATTAACATATTATTAAGCAAATATGTGTTCAAATTGCAAGTAATAAAATATTATATTACGTTTGATATGTGAAAATGTAATTTTTAAATTTATCATAAAATAAAAAGTGAAATGTTCATGCTGTACATTTTTCAGTGAGACAAACAAAAAATTTCTATAAATCTGAATGTCAAATTTGGAGTATAGAATAAAAGATAGACGCTACGAAAATCTGTTACTGCAGTATACATTCTAGCCTAACTAAGTGAAATATTATTTTTATCAAATACATGCTTCATATATTTTATTTATTTATTATATCACATATTCACTTTGTAAATTTATTTTTAGCTGTTGCATTAGCCAGGACAATCATATGGTTGCAGCCACATTTTTTTCTATAAAATTGAAATCTATGTGGATATATTTATTGACCAATCAAAACGTTTGCAGACTTCACTTTTCAAGATTCTTTTTTTTTACAAAAAACAGGAAATAATTTTTATATTAATCATAAAAAGAAAATAATCAATTGAATAAATTCATATCAAAATTACGATCTAATCTAGTCTAATAATATACGTTACTTCGATGTTATTTCGAAAATTTCTCAAATTATGTCAAATTGTATATAAGGTCAATCAAATATCTAAATCTTCATTTTCAACTAACCAATCAAAATGATTACAGATTTTACTTTCCAAGATTCTCTTTTTTAACGCTCTGTTGCCGTTACCGATTGAGTAAAAGAAGTTTTTCCATCTTGATTTTTATAAACAAATAAATAAATCAACTTAAAATTTCTTTAGAATATCCATTATACGTAAACAAAGGGTCGTAAAGAGCCGCTTTTTCATAAAATTGTCCTGAACATCGAGAAAAAAAAATTAAAACTCTGCTTGTAATTTGTGTGGCCCTTTGTTTTCGACCCTTTGTTTGCGTTCAATAGATATTCTGAAAAAGTTTCAAGTTGATTTATTTATTTGTTTTTAAGAATAAAGCTGGAAAAACTTCTTTTACTCAATCGGTAACGGCAACATAGCCTTAGGAAATGAAAGGAAAAAGACAACAATATCTCATCTTTTTTTTTTGTAATTATAATCTAATATTCTAACTTCACCTCACATTTTTCATTCTCAGCAATGGTTGTTTTGATTGAAGTAACCATACAAAACAGTGTTTGTTGATTAAACACAATATTACTCATTCATCTCTCCGAGCGTAGATCAATGGAGCGAAGTAATATACGCATACGGACATTAATTTGAATCAAGAGGCAATCAGAGAAGCTGAAGATCTTGTTAACGTGTCTTGGAAAAAGTGACAGTTTGCTTAATATGAAGATTATGTCTGTTTATTTCAGTGGATCATAACACTGATTATATTACATCTAGTTCACGATATTACTATGTAGTTCAGCTCTCAGCCGCGAGATGTCACAACTCTTCAGCACAACGTAAAAAATTGCTTTGGGCATGTACAGTGCGCCCGTCCGTTCCCCCTCCTGCACAGCCGGACTACCATCTAAGCTTCATATCGTTTCTTTGTGCGCAGATGTCAACTTCTCTCCGTGATCGGCACAAAATTTTTTTCGTTTTTTACTCAAATTTTCGCCTATAAATAAAAAAAGAAAATGCCCAAGAGGAAGATTGGACCGGGCGATTATGAGAAATGGTTTGAATTTCAAGAGGAATTCAAGAGATTGAAATCCCAATTGGAAACACTTCCGCCATTGTTCGATCGCAGTCCACATACCTCGGATGGTGAATCGTCCTCGTCGGAAATCCGACCTGCCTTATCTGTCGGCTCGCTACCGAAGGATGGGATTATTGCAGATAAGAATGAGGATACAAGATTTGTGTGTATGCGTAAACTTCACAAATAGAAAAATCTCGCGCCTTTGTTTCTCTCCTCCTTTTTACCCCTCCCCCATCTTCCCCCGCAATATTGTTTTCTGTGTTACAGGTCAAAGGACGCCATATTGGAGACGACATTAGGCATTGATGTTGTTTGCTGTGGTGCAGGGTTGCGCACCTTGGTCGATGTCATGTCCATACATTACGTTTTAACATTTTATTTATGGAAAAATGTTGCTAATCTACACCTGTTTGGCGATATGCGCGTCTTAAGCGACGCCTCCCCTAGTATTGCAACCTGATCAGTCTTTTTTTGCTAACCTACGTCTGTGTGGCGATTTACGCGTCTTAAGCGACGCCCGTTTTATACATTTTTCGTTACCTGAGCAAGTCCTACATCTGATATATATACACACACGTCTAAACCGACGTATATATACACACGTCTTAAGCGACGTATATACAACAACGTCTAAAACGACGTATATACAACAACGTCTAAAACGACGTATATACAAATGTCTGAAGCGACGTATATCGCTAACATAACCTCACATTGTGTGAGGTGCATCGCTATTTTGCGACTACGCATTTTAATTGACGTTTATGTTTAATACATTAAACAATAAACATTATATATAATTATGGGTGCCGCCATCTATAATAATTTCTTTGTTTTTCTTCAAGACGGCAAGGATCCATAAGCTGAAGACGGGGTTGATAAGGAGTTGATTGTAACGTTTGAGTATTTCTCGCGTTAATAAAAGTTCGGACTCTTTACAGTGAATTCGCAATGACGTTTCCGAAAAAAGCAAGAATTTGACACGCGCGCAATCTAAATGATCAAAAAAAAAAAAAATCTTTCGAGTGGAAAACCACGAGGCTTTCCAACTCGATGAGTTGTTTTCGAGATGCGATTGAGAGCAATTGCATCTATCGGGGAAAGGCCCGACAGCGCCGCAATTACTGCTCAATCCGATCTCTTAACAGCAAGTGTATTTCGGAAGGGAAGATCTCTAAGGCTGCTTTTTTCTCATGAGAGAAATAGTCACATGAGTTGAGCTCTTAGAGATCGTTAAGGAAGGAGTTTAACAGACTAACCACTGAAAAGAAATTCGTCTCAGGAAATAGCTGAGGCTTTATTTCAATAACAGT